TAATTAACTACTTTACTAGAGAGGTACTAACTGCAGAGTTTTAGTTTAAGAAGTTTTAACCAATTATTATATAGGTAAATGAGCAGAGCAAATTCAAATAAAACAGAAGAAAAAGACATACCTACATAAAGTTTCCTAAATAAGAGTAGGTATAAAATAATAGACACAGAAAAAAACTGCGAATCATGGAGAAGAAACTGTACCTACCTACGCATATCAGTAGGTACGTACCTGAGGAGGTAAAGGTAACACAGAAAGTTGAAGAGTAATAATAACATTAGGACAAAAAGAACTAAAAATATCATTGATATCCAACATAATCGTTAAAAGTATAGTCACAGTCAAATATAGTTCAGAGGCGTGTCCGTGTCCACTGAAGAATAGAACCGCAAAAATGCTGATGGAGGCAACTATGAAAAAGACTGAGGAGGGCGACAGCCAGATTAATAATGGAAAGTGTGAGAAACGAGTGCGAAAAACCACCCATTTAAAATATTATTTCTTTAAATATTGTTACTTTAAAAAAAAAACGTTTACTGAATAAAAGTAAATATTGCAACCACGTACTGCGCCACGAAGTTTATGTTCAGGGGAGAACGAGAGTACCGATCCGAACAGGAGGTAGAGAAGAAGCGATTAGGCATGAGACTAGAGAACAAGCTGAGACTGGTCCCTTGGACGCGTGTCGCCTGTCTGTAATTGTTTAATATTTAATTTTTATTTTTATTTTGCACTAAATTGATTGTTCAGTCCAATTTGTTAATAGTGTGTGTGTCCAGGTGCGATCACAGGTCAGTTGAATAATCGTTATTTTGTTTTTAAGAGTTCCATTATTTAAACATGTATAATTTTTTTCATTTTTATGTTTTTTTGTTTGTTTATAACAATTTTTTATAACTAGATTGATTCTTGGGTATAGGAAAGTTTGGTTAGGAATTAAAACAATTTTTCTCCTGGCAACGTTTCGTAACCTTTAATTGTTACTTTTTCAAGCCCTACAGAACAAGCATTCAGTCAAATACAATAAAATCTTTCATCTGATAAAATAACTTACTCAGAAACTAGTATATATATATATATATATAGTTTTACAACCGTGGATGTTCATTTAGTATACTAATTTGGAATCGGCATTCTTTAATCAACCTTTGACACCTATAAGCAAATTTTGTGGATAGTGCATGTACCTATGTGTTCTCATCAGGAAACCATATAATTTTATGAACTTACAAATTCAATTTTCTTTTTTCTTTTTTCGATTTTTTCTAATTAATAATCTAGTAAACAATGCAATAATAATTTTCTTTAAAATTTGACAATTTTGACAATCCGTTCAGGGTTGTGTACATTTCATATGGTTGCGTTCAAAGATCGAGCAAGTACACCGACTATTTAGATGGTCACCACAATCAAGCAACTACAAAAAACAAACGATATAATAGTATATTGTTGTATTAGGAGTAGAAGCTTTACTTTTTTTGTGCTGAAGCGGTAAGTTTGCGAGCCGAACATAGTGAGGCTTGCAATACTGCTGAAGCACAAAAAAGTGCTTCTACTCCGTATGCAACACGCTATTTTTTCTCCAAACGAATGGGGTAAGCTCGGGGGTAACTTAATGGTTAAGCGGCAGTAAAAGTACGAGCGGCACTAAAAGTACTTTTGCTGCCGCTCCAGCGGCACTAAAAGTACTTCTACTGCCGCTGCGGTTGCCTAGCAGCATAAAAATTAAATTTCTACCATCTCGACAGGTGTTAACCTGCTGGATTTGCCTAAGAGCATGGAAATTAAATTTCTAACATCTTGACAGGTGCTGACAAAGTGACGTTTTTTTGACGTTTGGAGAAAAAATAATTTTAAGACAATACACATTCGGACATTAGTTACTGACACATAAAAAACTTAAAAATTAAGAATAAAAACACAATTTTTTACACACCTCATTACACCGAAGACTGGAAAACATTGTTGAATGTGTTCTAGATGTCATCATCATCCTTATGATTCCTGTCATTGTATAATTTTAAAATATTCCCATATATTGGGGCTAAGCCTGCCGTGTCACTTTTCAGGTTAACCGTATTGTTAATATTTATGTGAATCATTTCACTTATCAGTCTTTTGTAGAAATTTGGTTCTTGGTCCAGAATAGTAGCTTTCTCAAATTGGAACCTATGTCCTGTTTCGAAGTGGTGTTTGGCTAGGGCTGTTTTGTCGACATCTCCACCTCTGTCATTCCTGCATCATTTTTATGTTGCTGTAGTCTTCTCTTCAGATACTGCTTTGTTTGTCCCACATAACACTGCTGGCACTCACATGGTATCTTATAAACAATATAAGAATCTTTTTCCCATGGAATAGGGTCCTTTAATTTAGTGTAAAAGATGTTAGTAGTTTTTGTGTTGTAATAGGCTAACACTGAATCTGTGTTCTTGAAGCACTTGTTAATCTTTTGTGATAAACCATCTATAAAAGGAAACCTATAGTACCTCTTGGCATCTGATTTTGGTTGCTGTACTCTATTTATGAACTTACTCATTGATCTATTAATTAAATTTGTAGGGTAGTTATTATTTCTTAATATCTGTTTAATTTTTTCCAGGTTCTTCTTGTGGAACTCTGTGCTACTTAAATTCTTTGCTCTGTGTATCAATCCTGATATGATACCTAATTTGTTCGACAAGGGATGGTTTGAGTGGAAGTTGAGTATTCTACCCGAGCTGGTAGGTTTAATATACCAGTTAGTTGAGATGGAACCATCTTGATTATGATGAACCTCAGTGTCTAAAAAGCTAATTTTTCTTTCCTTTTCAACCTCCATAGTGAATTGTAATGAGTTACAAACTAACCCAAACTTTCCTATATCCAAGAATCAATCTAATTATGTATCAAGGAGACGAAACCTCATCACATTTTTTATAACGTGCATTGTTTATGTAGGTATTTAACAAAAATCGTTTCATGCTGTAAACAACCCAGATAAAGAAGTAAATTAAAACCTAAGAAATTATGTGCTGTCTTTTTGTGCTGAGATTTTGATTTCGTGTTTTCAGAGCGTGTATTAGGGCCTTGTTGAATTTACTAACATTTTCCTACCCTGACGAGAGAATATCCTAACAAATTGAAATAATCAATCTAGAGATATTGGCTCAAAAACAACTATAGCTGTGAGTTTACGTAACCAGGGACCTCAGTACCTGCCACAGATGGGCTAACTAACTAACCAAAAACTCTTCAGTATTGAATATACACTAAAGCGTAAATAAAAAGTGACAACATAATTTTTAACCGATCATGCATTCGCATTGGCAGGTGCGGCAGGTATATTCAATCTGAAAAGGTTGCTTTGACGAGTTTTAAGGACTAGGAAAATGAAGCGATTTACAGACTAGGCCGAAAATGAAGCATTTTACGGACTAAAATGAGTCCACAAAATAGCTATTTTTGGGAACGTATAGAAAAAAAAATGCTTGATTAAACTGACACGAAAAAATAAATAATATAGTAGGTAAAGTGATGTCAGATAAACATTCAGAAATACACGAACCGCTACTGGAAAAATGCCGTCTCTTAGAAATGTTTTTGAGAGAAGGAGCACCTTTTCCATACTTTCCATGCTAAGTGAAGTTCTCAATGCTGAAACATGCATGATAATAGATTATTCAAAAATGGGTTTTATATTGAACAGCGGAGCCACAGATTATCTTGTGGTTGAAGATATGAAAGAATTTATGATAGATATACAAACTCTAGAGAAATAAATGAAGATTAGAGTGGCAAATGGATTTTTTTTTTAACAGTAACAAAAAGAGGCAAGCTACTACAGTAGATACAACATGAAAATATCAAAATCAATGTTTTGGTAGTGATTGTACTTAAGTTGAGTCAAAATCTATTGTCAGTTGAAAAGATCAATGAAAAATAAAACAAGATATTATTTGAACGAGATAAGGCAATAATTTAAGGCAAAAGTACTGATACAATGCTACTACTAATGTAATAATTATGTAGGCAGTAAAAATCCTCATGTTGCAAGTTTTACTCTAACAGGAGAATTGTGCAGTTTAATAAATAGTTAGCGGAGACATCTGACACACAAGATTATGACATATTTCCAAAGAATACATGAAAAAAAATGAAGTTGCCGATACCAAGTAAGTGTGCAGTCTATGTCGAGAAGGAAGACAACATTGATCTTGAAGGACCAGTGAGAATACCAACAAGTAGATATTGGTGAGCAATATTATCAAAGAATAATGATTGATGATTATTCACATTTCAAGAGTGTATATGCTTAATTAAAAGTAAGAGTGAAGCTCAAAGCACTATAAAAGGCAATTGAAGATGACAATGTGATGTACCTAGGTATCAAAATCAAAATGCATAATAGAGGAAAATATGTAGCTGCCAAATCTCACAATTTCTGCATCAGAATATACTGTACCCTATACGCCTCAACAAAATAGAGTGAGCGTAAGGGCTATAACAGGATATTGCAAGACAAAGTAAGAATTATGCTGACGGAAACTTATCTATTCAAATATCTGTGGAGATTTTTCATCAATTTTATCGACTAAATTACGAAGAAATCTTACAATACATTTAAAAAAGATAACTAGAGCTCAGGAGCGACAACGGGTAGATTAACAAAACAGAGAGAAAAAATTTAAAATTAAGTTAACTCGTTTTGCCATTTTAATGGTACCAGGCACCAGTGATCCAAAATCTCAAGAAAAAGATTTATTTTTGAACAATTACCTGATATCTACAAAATCTACATTAGCGAACATTAGGTATCCAAATATCCCAGACTCCATCGAGTATTTCAATCCTAGATTAAAGTTTATATTTAGGTATTGTTATTGCTCGGAGATCTACACGCAACAGCGTACCGGAATCCGCCAATTAGATAATAGATTCTTATTTTTGATAAATGAAACTAAGAAATCTTTAATCGAGACAATAATATCTAATAACTTTCATTATTGTAGAGTTTTATTTACCTTTTTTTTTTCTGTGAGTACCTAAACACTTCAAATTTTCACTAACTCCATGTCACATATCAATTAACAATAAATCATGTCTACTTATGGTTTGGCACAGTCATTCGTTTGTCACATAAGAGACAAAAAAGAAGTTTCTCTTAGTTTCACTATAACTGTATCATCACTGAAAATACAATCCACTGAAACAAATCCTATCCTGAAAGAACACAATAATAGAAAGATACTGAAAATTTGTTCAGGGATACAGAGCATAAGCATCCTCTCTTTTGTGGTTGGCCAGTAACGAGTCAATTTTCGAAAGTTGGGCTATCCTCAGTAATCTCTGCCGACCAATAGTAGTGGCGCCAAAATAAAACAGTTGCCGCCTTTTTCATAAGTGACGCTTCCGGGGAGGATTCTGGAAGAAAATGGCAACCTCTCAAATGTTTTGTTGTTTTTATAAAGTTGGTAATTGAGCATCCATGAATGGAATCCTCCTTTTTTTACTTCCCCATCAATTTGATGATAATTTTAGAAACTGAAGTGGATTAGTAAGTGTAAGTTTATAATTCCAATTTTTCACGTATGAAATATAACGTCTATGCTGAATTCAATTTTGAAGTTTTATGATTTTGACTCACCTGCTATGAACAATTATAAATAAATCTCTCATCGAACTAAATACTGCCTTTGCTATGAGATCCAAACATAAGGAAATCATTTATTTCGTTAACTAGATTTCTCATAAACATGGATAATTGGCGACGAAAAGATACTTTTAGAAGTTTCAGAAAAAGGAAAGAGTTAAAGAAACGGAAAAAAATCAAAGATACAGAAAAGCAATTATTGTTACATGAACCCACTTTTATTTTTCTAAGAATATGTGTGTATATACTATGAAAAATTTTCTAGAAATAACTTAAATATGGTTTTATGACATTTTCTTATTCCTCACAACAATCCAAAAAAGCCTTAACGTGAAATAATACAAAAGTTCTATGACCGTAAGAACGCTAGATCCAAGAAAAAGTCCCATGACTCCTCCAATATAAACTGAAAAAAAAAACACATTGAAAATGAAAATAATTCAACTACATACCTATAAACAAAACGACAAACGTCGCAATTTTGTTCTTTGCTTTTCTTAGATCGTCATATAAAGTTGTTCATTGTTAAGTGGGAAGTGAATTTGCTCAAAAAAGTACGTATATGGTTTTTGTTTGGCTAAAATATGTATAGGTATGTGTATATCAATGATGAAAATAGAGTAAAAATATGAGTAGGTATTAGAAACTTCACAACCTGCGAGCAATTCTGATTCATTTGAGTCCTTGATAATGGATGGAATAAGCCCCGCGGTGACCAATCATCAAAAATCTCACCAAGTAAATCGGAGAATCCAAAAATAACATCACGTCTGAGTCGCATTTCCGGAAAATGTCTAATCCCATATTGTAAATTGGATTCCCAGAGGAATTCGTGCTCGTCTACGTCTTCTGCGACGTAATTGACTTCTTCGCAGTTTACCGGGCACTTGCAGTCGCTTTCTAAGCCTTCCAATGATATCAATTGTTCTGAAACGATTGATTGCCTCAAAACACATAGTAAGCCACAAGTAATACAAGAAGAAATACCTTTAAACTGCGCTAAGCAACGTAGTCCTTTGCCATTGCAAGTTTTTTCACCAGCTGAAAAAAAGTATATGTATTTCAAACAAATTAGCTGTTTTCCCACTGATTCCTCTTACGTAGTCTTTTATAAAAATGTGGGATGCACCCGCACAACTTCATAGTCAACCGAATCCTGCACTCCATTCGGCACAAAACGTAAGTGTACACTGGAAAGTGTTCCAGGTTATTTTCATAGTAAAACCGACACTTCCTCTGAGTCACCATCAATTGTTTGGCATTTTCGCTCGTGATAATACTGAGTGGCTTCAAGAAAAGTTGCACGTACGAGAATCGACCAATGAATAGAGATTTGCTACGGATGTCTGCTACTTCGTAAGGTCCGTGAATGAAGACCTGGAAAAAAATATTCCGTTTTTAATTTCAAAAAAGAGTTACTGGATGGTCTAACTTAACTACCTAATGGGTATTGATATTTTTTATGGGCTAAGTATATGATTACTGAATTCTCAGTTCCGAGGCAGAGAAGAAGTATTTTAAAGAATTTAAGATTAAACTATCTGAGATAGAATAGAAATGTTTTGGATACTGGAGACTGATTAGTAACTACTAACTACTTGTTTGTTGCTGTTGATTCTCTCTCATCTCACAAGGGCAAGAAGTGAGTCTTTTTATGCTGAGCTCAAAGTTCGAAGGTCGAGGTACAATTGAGCAAAGCGCAAAAAAGACCTTTTGCTTTTTTGCGTGCCAGTAGTATTATCTCTGTTTAACCGGTACCAGCTTCAGCTTTTCGTCCTCATCCATTTTGCTTATTGATATACTGCTATATTTTCCGTGTTAACGATTGTAGTAGAGGTATTTTTTTACGCACGACCGTCTATTTTGCCAAGCTGGTTTCCTAGCTTGGGTCACCTATTCCATTACCGTATTATAGCGTAGACTGCAGATTTATGCCCACCTCTGTATAATGTTGTCCGTCTATCCGAGGTTTCTGTGTATTCGGGTATGCTTCCATTAGGTAATTTTTCAAAACAGTCAAGCAAATATCAAGCAGTTTCTGAGCTCCACTGGTGGAGATCTAAGACTAGGGGTCATCCTCGATACTTTCGATCACCTAGTCCTAAGCAGTTAGCTTAGCATCTATGGCTTTCTTCAGTGACATTCTGTTTTCCTAGCGCTATGGTTTTCTGATTTTCCGTGATGTCTCGTTTCCGACGGCGGGTGGCAGCTCTCTTTTCTGCCAAGCATTCCCTTCGCAATTCACTTACTTTAGCTTCCGCATTGGCGGAAATCCGTCCCTTTGATATGATTTGCTTTATATTTGGTATAATTTCTTATTTGTGTAGTTCAAATTATGGTCTGATAAGTTTTCTTCTTCCAAAACAAAGCATTTCTTATTACTTATCTTATCTACCGTATTAATTGGCCACTCTCAAATGTTTGGAAAACTTCTTTTCCAAAAAACGCTTCCCATTATCGGGGAAGTGTTCAGATTACGTCGGGCTATGTACACCCTGTGTACCCTTGTCTTTCATTAAAAATTAGACAAAGGCAAAGGTAGCCGTGGAATGTTTTTAAAAAAAAAACTTGTTAGGTACCTATATCACAGCTCATTACCTAGAACCTATTTGCGTCCTTTTCTACGATATAAAAAAATAAATTATGGGTATAATCGGAGAACTCTTGTTACCTAGTACCGTTGATTTAACAAGAGTCTGGGAAACAGACAGACGGAGCTCCGTCCGCCGTCTGCCGAACGTATTCACATTTTATTATTATTTAGTCATAGGTATACGAGAGAAGAGAAGTTTTTCCCTGCCCACATAGCATACTCCATATTATACCTATGATAATGTAACCCATACTTTAATTGTTATTATTACAATTTCTAATATCAATATAATTATCAGTATTTTTATTATTGTGAGAATTTCATACATCTGTCAAAACTGGTATTCCAACAATAAATTGACATGTTTTGATTGTTGATTTGAACCAATCAGATTGTAATTACGCGATAATTTGCACTAGTGTAAATTATCAGATAATTGCATACTAACTGGTGCGAAAACTGGTGTTTTGTCATTTTTTGACAAAAAATTTAAATTTTTGATTTATGAAATTCTCTCATTAAATACAACTCGTGCAATGGAAATATTTATAATTTTCGACAAATTTGCACTCATGCGTTTTTAACTGAAAAAGGCACTCGTGCACTACGTGCACTCGTGCTCTTTTTCAACTAAAAATGCATTCGAGCAAATTTCCCAAAAATTATCAATAATTTCCATTGCACTAGTTATATTCCTATTGACAATTCGGAGAAATTTTATTCAAGTAGGGCTTTTTTGGAATCCGTGACAATATGTTTTTTGATGCGCTGATCATGAATCTCAACATAAGAAAGCTAGTTCAATTTTGCGGCATTTGAAATTTTATTTACGACTAATGTATAATGTGTGTATTATATTTGTGATTTTGGCAGTATAATGACACATGTTATTCCTCCAGAGAATAATGACGAGTAGCGGGATTAATGGTCATTATTCCTCAAAAGTGTCAGTGTCAAATGTTTAGTGCTTGTGGATTTGTATTGAAAATCATGAGACGGATGAAATTTGTTCATTGAAAATCTTAAATATATTAATTTGTCGTAAATAAGTAGAGTATACTACTCGCAATAATGGCTATTATTCCCTCGGAATGTTACTCCCTCGCCGCTAACGCGGCTCAGTTCGTAATAATCCTCGGGAATAATAGCTATCATTATTGACTCGTGGTATAATCTACTATATAAACAATTTAAGTTTGCAACAATTTAATTTAATATACGATTTGCAGCTAAAATATCGATTTTTTTGGGAAAAACACATGCATAGTTTTTTTTATAAGAACATCCTTTCAAACCCTGATGCAACAAACTTTTTTTTATAATACAGGGTGTCCCGCGTGTCCCAGCCGAGAGTGACCCATTTTAAATGCTTAAGTATAACTTTTAGACCAGGTGTGAGTACAAAAAAATCCTTTTTTCAACATCGGAATTCTCCACTATTTTTAATAGAACACCCTGTATATCACAACGTAAAAAAAAGATTCATGCTGTATATGTATATGTTAGCCATTCTGTTCCAAGCATTTATGGATCAATAAATGATTGAATGAATTGTGTAACATTTTCTGGAGAATCGCTTCAATGACATTACAAATGTTTCGCTTAAGATCTTCCAGACTATTTGAGCAAAGTATTACATTACCGCATATTTCCTTGACATAACCCCAGAGAAAAAAGTCTAGAACTCTCAAGTCAGGAGAGTAAGGTGTCCATTCTATAGGACCAGCTCTCCTTATCCGTCTTTCCCCAAATGTCATTTCCAGTGAATCCTTTGCTACTAAAAAATAATGAGGAGGGGGCACCATCCTGCTGAAAATAGATATCATCCAGATACCCTCCTGTCTTAACTGTGTATACAATTTCCATTATCGTTGATTCATTGATGAAAATGGTCTATATTTTTTCTCAATAGAGATAGAGATTGCACACCAAACTGTTACTGGTGGGTTATCTCTATTTAACGAGTTCCAGAGAAAATACTCTGGAACTCGTTAAATTTTCTTGGAAAATGTATTTTAACTTAATTGATATCTAACTAGATTGTTACAAAATTGTTTGCCGATGTCTATTCGTACATGGATAACTTGAACATGAATCTTTTTTCGACGTTGTGATATACAGGGTGTTCCATTGAAAATAGTGGAGAATTTCGATGATGAAAAACGTTTTTTTTTTACTCGCCCTGTATACTTAAGTTTCAAAAAATTTGCAACCTACTAAAAAAAACTTTAGGCCAAGAGAAATCGAATGGCACAAACCGCAGGTAGCTAGCACACCTGGTTTAAAAGTTATATAGTGTCCCCCATAATATTTGTAGGATATGGAATTTTTTTTTATGTGCGATCGATCCTGCATGTCCGATAACCAAAAATACATTGTTGTGGCGGCAAATTCGAAAATTTAGATATGGAAACGCGAAAAGTGGGTGGATGGCAAAATTTCGGAAAAAGTTATTTGAAAAAAGTGATTAGAACGATAGTCAACCATCCAAGGACCTTTTTTTTCAGTTATACATGTAAACCCCATACTTTGTGAGTGGCTTGCTTACATCAAGTCCTACAACTTTTCCTCTACGACTTTTCTCGGAAATGGCACGTATGCGCGCAGGCGACTCGCAAACATTTTAGGGGTATCGGACTCCCCCAATTTGCCATTATTTTTGTCGGCCAAGTTGATTTCCGTGATTTAGACATAAAAATCAAACAGTATTCGTAAAATTAGATTTACCTACATGTATCAAGAAACATAGCTACGTCAGATCGACATGTTTGCGAGTCGCCTGCGCGCATACGTGCCATTTCCGAGAAAAGTCGTAGAGGAAAAGTTGTAGGACTTGATGTAAGCAAGCCACTCACAAAGTATGGGGTTTACATGTATAACTGAAAAAAAAGGTCCTTGGATGGTTGACTACGATGTTTCAGGGCTGTCTGCGAAATTTGGAGGAAAAACAACAAAAAACAGGAAATTACTTGTTTTTCGCCATGGATCTCGTATCAACTAATATTATACAGTTTTTATTATTGAAATAGTCCAAGTACCTACCTCAATATTTAATGTGTATTGGTAAAACTATAAGTTATTTCAATTAATTTTTTTTCTACGAACGTATCATGTAGGATATTTTCCACACTAGGTAGGTATAATTTTCGCAAAATATCGTATGTATTCACGATTTTCCTATAACTAGGTAAGGTTCAATCATTTATGGACAATATATTATTTAAAAATGACTTAAATGAGTGTTGTATGCAACAATTTTGCATTAGGTATGTATAATAAAAATACATAAACTCACCCAAATTTATATGGAATCACCGAATATTTTCTCTGAAGAATTTTTTGCTAAAAAATCAGTTGCTGGGATCAAGCTTAACGGCTTGACCGAACTCCGCTTCGCGTCGTTCGGTCAACTGCCGTTTCGTGCGGTAAAGTATCACTTTCCGCATTTGTTAGGTAAATAACTATAATAACATTGACAATGCTATTTATAGGTTATGTGACTTTGTTTGTCGACTTTCTGCCAAAGTCATTCATAATGAAATCTTCTATTGGAAAAGGATTCAAACGTGGATACACAAGTCTTTCTTTTTCTTCTCTTCTCTCACAAATCTCTTAACATACTTAGCAAAGATAATAACACAAAAATCTATGGAATATCTACCCACTAATGATATGGTTTTTCATTTCACGAAAGAATGTTTTATCGCATTTTTTTTTTCTGAATCATAAAAATATCATCCATCGTCATAACATAATCTGTATAATAAAGGATTCTGCGAAAAGCTTTGGCTTAGAGAACACCATTGTCAAATGGATCTGTGTCATGCTAGAAGGCAGAATTATTACAAGATCGATTGGAAGTGCGAAGATCAGCTCAACCGTTGCCAGAGGCTGCCAGCATTTGGGTTTACCATCGCCCTTGCTGTGGTGCCTAGTGCTGGATGTGCTGCTCCCTGCTCCGCACTCTGAACGAGGAAGGTATTTACACTCAAGACTACATCGTCGTGGCTGGTAGGCACCCAGCACCATTAAAGGGATCATGAAAAGAGATCTTAACATGGTCGAAAGATGGTGTTATAATTACGGTCTCTCGGTAAATCTGGATAAGACCGAAGTAGTACCATTTACAAAGCGAAGAAACCTGGGCCTGGAAGGGCTCACGCTTTTTGGATCGAGACTTGCTCCATTCGGTTTGGTCGAATATCTAGGAGTCATCATGGACTCCAGGCTGACCTGGAAAGATAAGAGTTGTCCATAATAGGGCTACTGCTCGCCTCTGGGCCTGTAAGAGATCCATCGGACGCACTTGAGTTTTACAGCCCCACATAGTCCACTGGTTCTACACAGCAGTGATAAGGCCAATGATCACGTACGGCAGCTTAGTTTGGCGGAACGCGCTCAGTAAATCCACCTACAGGGCAAAGCTGAACAACGACTTGCCTAATGTCTGCCCAGCGACTCTGTGTCTACGGGGCAACGGTAAGGGGAATGCAGTTGTAAAAAAAATGGCTGATTTCATTCATAAAATACCCAGCTGCGTGCGGAACTTTTTGGAAGTATAATATTGTATTGCAACTCGTACACGAAAATTGACAATGACCAAATCCCCGCCACTGGATATTTCAATATAAATCGATATTCCAAGATGGGAGGATACAATGACAGGAGCCCTGGCCAATAGGGAGACGTAAGGTGACGTTAGCCCACTGACAACCGTATGATTCCCCGTGGCAACGGCGATCCTGCCAAAAACTCTACCAATCAGGTTCATCCAGGCTGAATGCTTGCCAAATTGACAAAAGCTGATGGTATCTTTGGAAAATGTTCATTTTTTATATTAGACAAAATTGAAGAAATCAGTTATTAAATAAGAATAGATCTTACAACCACGTTAGAATCTTTACCGTTTCATTATTGTTATCTATATTTTGTTATTAAAAAATGGATTTTCACATGAACTATACTTGATGCCTAGTATTTTTGCTTTTTTATAATTGAACGTGGCAACATCGCACATTTACGTCCGAATTCCTTCCGTAGACTCAGAACCGCTGGGCAGACAATATATGGCTAGAATTGGAGCCTTTAGAACTACCTTAACGCTGGCAATAGAGGCCATACTGGGAATAATGCCTCATCGTCTTTTTGTGGATGAAGGCACGGGCCCGGGAGGCTTCAGTAAGACTCAACAATTGGGGAAATGGGTTCAGAGAGCACTGACCATGGGACATGCAAGCGCCTCACAGATACTATCAGAGAGCAGAGCTGGGCAAAGCCTTCAGTAAAAGGGCTTGAAGCACTAAGCCCTAAGCCCTCTATCAAAGTGCTTCAATTTCAAGCACAAATTCCTTTTTATTTTCAAAAGTGCTTCACAAGCACAAAGCCCTCAAAGTGCTTTGGGCTTGACAAGCACAAAGCCCTCAAAGTGATTTGAAAAGTGCTTGAAGCACATCAAAAGTGCTTGAGGTGCCTTGAAAAGGGCTTCAAGCTCTTTAAATGTGCTTGAAGCTCTTTAAATGTGCCTAAAGCACTTTGAATTTGTAATAAAATTCTCAAAGTGGCATAAGCTACCGCGTACACTCATCACACAGAATTGGTATAGTAGAGACGAACTTTACATTTCACAGAGTAGCAGTAGTATGTTTTTTTTTTTGAGATGTAGTTCTGGGGTACTTGAGGTACTACACGGTAATTCAATTTTAAGGTTTCCAAAATGTTCAATGGGGAAAAGTGAAAAGTGGAAAAAATCCAGTGATAAAGTTAAATGGGGTACCAATATAAATTAATTATTTATTTGAATAATAAGTTCATTAATTTTTTTTAAAATTCTATTCTAAGCTCAAACCCAAAACCTCCATTGTTAAGAGAGGAAAGACATAAAACGGTTCAAGTTCAAATAATAGAAAATAAAAATTAAGGGACAAAACACGATAGAAAATTTTTAAGTGGGGGATAGGTTGAATGATGGTCAATTCAAATTCCTTTCAAAGTGCTTCAAGCCCTTTTAAAGTGCTTCAAGCCCTTTCAAAGTGCTTCAAGCTCCCAAAAGTGCTTCAAGCCCTCTTAAAGTGCTTCAAGCCCTCTTAAAGTGCTTCAAGCCCTTTCAAAGGGCTTCAAGCTCCCAAAAGTGCTTCAAGCCCTCTAAAAGTATTTGAAGCTCATTGAAAGGGCTTGAATTACTTTTTTCAATTACAAATTACCAAGCACTTTTCTAAAGTAATTGACTTTGCAAGCCCCAATTACAAATCTATAAAAGGGCTTGAAGCACAGGGCTTTCAAGCCCTCAAAGTGCTTCAAGCACTTTCGCAAGCACAAAGCACTCAAGCCCTGCCCAGCTCTGTCAGAGAGGACCCCTCTTCTCACCAGTGTCCCTATTCTTGAAACAGGGGAGCACCGTTCCCGGGAGAACGGGTGTTCTGTCTTTCTCAACGATATGCAACTAATAATATAAGTAACAAAGACGGAAAACTCGTTCTCCTGGGAACGCTGCTCCCCTGTTTAAAGAATAAGGACACAGAAGGGATGCAATGCCAAAAACTTCAGCTCCCTAGACAATACTAGGTGGTTATCCCTGCAAGGGTATACTAGACTGAGATCTACGCCATACAGGTGTGTGCTCAAGAGAATCTCCAGAGAAATAACTCGGGGAAGCATATTTATATATGCAGCGACAGGCTGGCAGCTCCAAGCCCTTCGCTCAGACAAGATCAGCTCAAGACCGTATGACAACCCTAGAACTACTACAGGCATAAAAGGCAATAAGCAGGCGGACCAGCTGGCGCGTGAAGGTAGCAACTGTGCCTTTATTGAGTCAGAGCCTGCACTTGGGGTTGCTTCCTGCCTGGGTCTTTATTCTCGAAACCGGGAAACAGCGTTCTCATGAGAACGAAATTCTGTCTTTTTCAGTGTTATGGAAATATAAATATGGGCGACTAAGACCTTTTTGTTCATGAGAACGCTGCTCCCTGAATCAAAAGCCTCAGACAGTCAAGGATCCTTATACAAGGTCCTTCAAACTGCAAAGAGACAAGAAGTCTCTTCAAATTAAACAGGAGCCAGCTAACAGCGTCCTGTCGGGGCACTGGATAGTCAGATATCACCTGCACAAAATCGGACTCATGATGAAACGGAATGCAGGTTCTGCAATTAAATAAATGAAACTACCAAGCATATAGTCTGCGAATGTGACGCCCTCGTCAGTCGCAGACTAAGATACCTCGGTTACAGGTTTCTGGAACCTGATGAAATAAAGCATGGTCGACCTGAGCGAGCCTGCATCTTTCTTAAAAGGTGTGGGCTCCTAAGGCAAGGGCTGCAACAAGAGGGGGATAGTACTATGGGCCACATGCGAGTCTTCGTGCAGTCTGTAAAGGCTCCGTTTTCAAATCAATCAATCAATAATACTGGATTCTAATCTGGTTAGACTCATTTAATCAATATTTCAGTTACTTACATGATGATCGAGTGGTATATTTACTATATTAACAAATGTTTCACCGTCCAAGGGATGAAGTTCGAAAATTTTACGTTCCGGTAATAGGTTTCGTGTTGCGTTAATCCAATATCTGAAAATATTCCTATAATTTCAAATTAATCACCATAATATTAAACATCCACTTACTGTGGAGAATTATAGAGAGCCAACTGTGAATTAAAACTATAACACAATCCCATTTCTGTTATAGTCTCATGTAACCACTCGGCAGAGCTTAGACTTTGACTCGAAAACGTAATGTCCGGCTTGATTTTATTTTGTAATTTTATAATGGTGGGCATATATTCGTCCGAGGTAAGTTCATCACTATCAATAACATTTTCGAAGTTCGTATAATTAGAGTTGAATAAGGTTATTAGAAAAGCTCTTAGTTGGGTTTTGTTTTTGGAGCCTTTGGTTTCGATAAGCTCGTTAAGAGCTGTGTTGTTCATGATTGGAACTGGGCATATAGTAACGGCTTCAGAAAATAATTCCTTATAAAATATATTTAACAAAAATTCTCTACACTGACTAATCTTAATTTATATGTATATTTTTTTAAACGATTAAATACACTATAGCTATTCTTACTTATTACCTGGCAGAAATGTGGTCCATGAGAATCTATCCCGTTCAATTGACACAACTACAGGATTGGTATAATATCGATTTAAAGTAATTAAACTCAAATTCCATCCAAATATCGCCGAAATCGACACCAGTATAAACCAAACAATTTTTTCAGCAAGACAATTCTTTACTGTATGATTCAAACCATGTACAGTACTTGTAACGCAGTATTCTTGGATATAGGTAGTTATTTTATGAAACAAAGAGTTTGGATTACTCATTTTAAGTCATCTTATTTTATGTAAAAAGCAACGAAAATTACTTTCATTCTATTGACTCTACCTCTGGAGTGGATAGAAAATACAAAGCAATTATAACGTAATTTGTGAACAAATGCGTGTGCTATTGAAAGATTTATGGTTGATATTTCAAACATTAATATTTATTATTCATGCACGTTAAGAAAAACTTATTAATAATTAACTAGAAGCTTTGTTGGTCAAATAAATGAAAGACTTCCACCCCTATTCTCTTTAGTGATAAACAATGGAGAACCAAATTTAACAAAAAACAAGACAATTATTTTCACTAGAAACGGGAATTAGTAAAGTTGAAAGTGTTACCTATTTACTCCTATGTATTTGTTCATTCTCGCCTATAAATCATCAAAAACATGTAAGATTTGTTGTCGGATATTTTCACACCACATTTCTAAAAAGTAGTGGATAAGATTGTAGCATCTCTTTTCTTTCAACATAAGAACAGTCCTGTCTGAAGGATAAGGTGGTCTTCCAGAATACATAATTTCCAATTGGAATAGGTAGGCAAAATTGAAAAGTTTGTAAAAATGTAAAACTGTCAAAGCATTCATGAACTTCTTCACTACCATAAGTTGTAAAACCAAATCCGAGTGTCAAGAAGTCCTTGAAGAAATTTTTGGAATACAAAATATTTTCCGGTAGCATTAATTTTCAAGCACATATCTAATTTGAGAAAATGGGACTCAAAATTTCCCTTATGTTTTTTCACCATAATAAAATTTTGATTTCAAATGAGGCCCTGTTACTTCCGGTATCTCTTCAAAAACTAGATCCGGAGGCATCAATAAGTAGGAAAACATACATATTTTATCCAGAAAAATACATGATTGTATTGGACAGAAAAAAATTGTTTGCAATGAAATGTGGGTGGTCTTTTTAAAACGAGAGACATGTGTTCGTGACGCAACAAGTTAATGGACTTGTGTTTATTTAACAAAACTGACATAGGTTTGTAATACATCACATATCGTTTGCTTGTTTTAAGAATGTAATTCTGCCATCTAATTAGAAAAAAATGTTTTTCCTTTTCGATACACTCGACGACTCAACATTTCGTTACCTACCGCAAATCTATTTTCAGAATTTTCGAATACTTTTTGTGGCATCAAAATCTTTCGATTAGGCTCTTCTTATCATTGCAAAGTATTTTTTTTCCATTTTTTTTATGTACTTATTATATACGAAAAACAACATAACGTAGGTATGCTATAAAACTATAATTTGAAAGAAAATCATCCAAAACGATAAATTATAATATATCAAAATAAATTAATGTATCTACCTATGTATTTGTTCTTATCGGATAACACCAAACACGCTGTATATTACATCGGTACCTTACTTTTATCCTTTCTATTTTAGTGAGATTTTTTGAGTAGGTACCTTTTTGATACGGATAGGAGTGCAAAATAAAATAAACAAAAGTCCATTAAGGCAAATGTTCTCTGGGGTGCGTCGCTACCGTATAACATATGCCACATTTGTATTTATGTTGAATCAAAAAGACCACCTAGGTGAATTAAGTGCAAAATAAAAAATAAAAAAAAAACATATTGGTGATAATTAATTTATTTCAGTGGATCTATGGTGTGAGATTGTGAATGATTAAACACACCAAATTTTATTTGTTATTTGGAAAAATAAAAAAGTTATAGGGGTGAGCGGGTTTTGAAAAACACCCGGTATACCTAGGTAGAGAAGTTGGTCATTATATACCGAGCGCTTTTATAAACCGAGGCGCGAAGCGCCGAAGTTTATAATGCGTAAGGTATATAATGACCTTCTCTACCGAGGAATATATAGAATTTTTTTACTACTGCTAGTAGAAAATCAAAAATAAATTTGGAATCTGAGCTCAAATTATTTTTTCTTGTCGGAAGTGCTGCCCTCTATCAACAGCCTATGGTAATTTCCTATAATGTACTTACAGGAACCTGCTTTTTTTAAAATTGACAGTTTAAAGTTGAAATTAAACCAATAGAAACCTGTAATGTTATGACAATATCCTTGCGTCATGACGCCATTTTCATTATTGACCTAGGTATTTTTTCATTATTTTCATTATTAACCTAGGGAGAGAAATTCAATTTTTTCCCAGGAAAATAGATTGAATAATGACCACTTTTCAGGTACGTAGTAAAAAAAATATTTTTTTTTCTCTGACGGGAAAAAAGTAGACTTTTTGTACCAGGGGCAAAAATGTCACTTTTTTCCCACAGGAAAAAAGTAACAGGTACCAGTCAAATTTTTTTTTCAAATGGAAAAAAAAAATGTATAGATGGAAAATGGTGAGATTTTCCCGTCACAGAAAAAAATAGTGTATTATACACGGGAAAAAAAATAAGATTTTAGCGCTTGCTGTGTTGTCTCCCTCCGCTTCGCGTCGGGAGACAAACCACAACTCGAGCTAAAATCTAGTACTTTTTTCCCTTGTATAATAAATAACTATTTTCGCTCATGCGCACTTCAATAAAAGTTAAAAATGACAATTACAGTTATCTATTTTTAGAAAGAAATGACAGGCGACAGATTTATTTGGTTGGCGGGAATCGTTGACCGTTGTACCAAAGATACTGTTGTCTGCTGTTCTACGTTGTATTCATTGGTCGCGTTGCCGTTTGCCATTGTTGCTCTGTGTCGTGTGATTAATTTTTGTATTTTGTGTCAAGTTTTGAGTTTATTTTTGAGTTGAAAATTGTTGGACATCAAGCATGGATGACTTTCTTTTAGTGGAGCAGGTAGCAAGGTTATCTCTACTGTTTGATAAAAAGTACCTGAATTTTAAAAATAAACTGCAGAAAGAGAATGCTTGGAGTACTATTGGGGTAATCCTCGACAACACGCCAAAATTATTACACTTGGGTACATCCATAATTTAATAATTTTCAAAAACCAACAGCAATACACCTGTTCATCGAACAAAATCAATAAACAAATAAAAATAAATAATGGGTGAAGTTTGACGTAAAAAGATGATCCTGTTGCACATGCGCACTTGCGTTTTCATTTAACATTTAATTTAAGAAAGATAAAAGTTGGCCAACTCTTAGATGATAAATGCTAAATGTTAAATGTTAAATGGGTTATATGAATCGTGATATTACTTTGTATAGCCGAACTTTTTCTAAATGTTAAATGTTAAATGCTAAATGTTAAATTTCGAAATATCCTAGTTCTTATTTAATGAAATAGTCAATTTCAACATTGAGTATTCTGACCATAATGTAGCCTGAGACAATGTCTTTGATTTATCTGAGAAAAACACCAATAATACATCTTCCGTTATTGTGGCCACTTCTTCCGTTGTACACCATTTGATAAAATTTTCATAGGCTTGATTGTAATGGTGAGTTTATAAAAAACATTTAACATTTAGCATTTAACGTTTAACATTTAACATTTAGCATTTAGCATTTAAAAATTTACACCCCGTTTATAAAAGAATGAAAAATAAATAAAAATAAAAATAATAATACATAATAAACTAGCCCTGGTTTTTGCACACCACATGGCCCCAGCTATCAGGAACAACATAGATCCCATAGTAAAAGCTGAATTATTAAGCTGGATTCAGGGCTTCCGTAACGTAAGACCTAAAACTTAAGCGTAAGAAAAATAAACACCATGTAAATCAATGGGACAATTCATAGTGCCACCGTAATACTTAAGTCGTAAAGCCTATTTTACAGACGTAACATAAGTCCTAAGAATGCGCACATTTGATTTATTTGCGTCAAATATGTCACTGGAAACGCAACGTAAGAGAAATGAGTGTTGGTCTTCGACGAGTTGGTCATCTCTTAAGTTGCGTTTCCGGTAACATATTTGACGCAAATAACTCTGATATGCGCATGCTTAGGACTTATGTTACGTCTTTACGGTTACGTTACTTCCATTGTAAAATGGACTTAAGCAGTAAGAAATGGTTCAATTCCATTTCCTGCTTTACGGCTTAAGTTTCCGTTAAGGATCGCGAGGTTTCGTTAGCGGCCGATCGTGAAACTGACATTTGGCCACCTGTTTTTTTGATTGTTTATGTTTTTGATTGTTTTGGTTTTTGTTTTGTGTCTGGTGGTTAAATTTCTTTTCAGTTCATAATTAAATAAAAATATAATATTATAAAACATGTATACTAGATAAATATGGAATCCTAACCTAGGAATATAATATAATTTCTTACTTCTTAAGTTTTAAGTTAGCTTTGAATTGACTGCAGCTCTGAGCGAACCTTTACACTTGGGTACATCCATAATTTAAAAAGTTTCAAAAACCAACAGAAATACACCTTGTTTATCGCACAAAATCAATAAACAAATAAAAATAAATAATGGGTGAAGTTTGACGAAAAAAGATGATCCTGTTGCACATGCGCACTTTCGTTTTCATTCAAAATTTAATTTAAGAAAGATAAAAGTTGGCCAACTCTAAGATGATAAATGCTAAATGTTAAATGTTGAATGGGTTTTATGAACCGCTACATTACTTTGTGTAGCCGAACTTTTTTTAAGTGTTAAATGTTACATGCTAAATGTTAAATTAAATGTTAAATGTTTTTTATAAACTCACCATAACGGTCTTTGGATTTGCCCGGTAACAAACTTTTGCACGCGATAATTGCTGCCTCTTCAATGGATTTCATTTTTAACTAAATTTTAGCCAAATATTGAATTTAAAGAGACGTACCCATCAACTTTGTATTGGAAAATAATACTTATTTGAAAACTGTCAAAATATGTTTTTTGTTGACAAGAATGTTACCAAAATACGTTAACGTTAACAACACACTGTCGTCAAAACTGTGGTCATTCTACTTTTTTTCAGTGGCGGCTGGAAAAAACTGAATATTGGTTATAAATATTTTTTGGTTTTATTTTTTAATTTTTTGGTAAAGTGACACTTTACCTAATGCACCTGAATAACCGCCACTGCAGTATTGTTATGGCAAGAAACCGCGTTAGGCCCAGAGGATTTTCAGCTTCTGTGAATGTGTGTTTTATAACCTGAATGGTTTTATATAAATTCGGGGGACGAATGAAAATTTTAATACATTACATGCTGCAAAAGCCCTTTTGGGTGCTCGGAGATATTCAAACACCCTTGGCTGCGCTTCGCTTCGCCTCGGCTATTTAAATACACCTCGCACCTAAAAGTACGCTTACACGGACACGCGTCCGTATAAAGAGAACTGTTCTGAAATGGATCAAAAAGTGTTAAGATTGGTTTTGAGCTAATAACTTGTTGTTAATCATTAATGATATCAGCATGAGTGTCTTCCTACTTCCATTTACAATCCTTTTTTTAATAGTGATGTAAGCGAACATGTCTTGGAAGCATAGTTGGGTATAAATTTGCCCCAGAAGACCTAAAAATTGTCGCAATTGATGTACTGTCTCAACTACTGGAAAATGTTGAACTGCTTCGATTTTGTCATTATTTACACTCACATTTCCTTGGAAATGATATATCCCAAGTGTGTTTCAAAAATATAGATTTTGAGAGCTTAATGGTTAAACCGTACTCTTGGACAATTTGTAGGAATTTTTCTAATAATTCCAAACCTTCCTGTATTGAATTCGACGGCATGATGATGTCATCTAAATATGGGACTAAACCAAATTCCCGTAACGGCTCAATTATATCAGTCATCATTTTTTGAAAAATAGCTGGTGCATTACTCAAGCCAGACGGAACCCTAGGGTATTCATAGAGTCCTTCGGGCGTAATAAATGCCGTTATCGTGTAATTGACGTGTCTCGTAATACCTGGTGTGCGCGCGCAACTCGTGGGTTGCAGGTGAGCATCCAATGAAAATTGAGTTTGTTACAGGCTTGCGTCATATTCGTATTCAGGGACGAGATCAGAATTAATCGTTCCTTCTTTCTTTGTAACGTGTAGTTCGACAAAGAGCAAACTAATACTTTACGTATTACTTGAACTTATCTCAGTGTCGTTAAAGGTTATCTTAGATTAGACTTTACATATTTCTTTGCAATTTCATTGTGCGATGTTGCCGGATGATACATTTATCAAAATAAAAGTGCCATTGATGTTAACTTACACTTTAAAGCTCTTCTATTGTCTGATTTAAGGCGTTGTAAAACACTTGACAATATATCACTTCTTTAATGTTATAATGTTCGATATGTATTGTCTACATTTGTTCTGCAACAATACAATCTGGCTACACTGCAGCCACGAGTTGCAGGCGCATGTCATTTTTTATTACTTTCTAACTTGTATTTATTACAATTAAGCTCTCTTTTTTTATTTCTGCGAGACACGTCAATTCCAATCGGATTGGTTTAAATCAACAATCAAAACATGTCAGTTTATTGTTGGAATGTCAGTTATGACAAATGTATGAAAAGATGTATGAAATTCTCCACTAAATAGCATTCGTGCTTCAAAATAACTAGATAATTTTGCATTCAAGCGTGTTTTCTTGAAAAACTGCATTTGTTAATTTTCATATTAATTGGAAGAGCCCTCCACCTTTTTTTCGCAAAAAATATGAAAATCAACTCATGCAGTTTATAGAAAACACGCATTCATTCAAAATTATCGCTAGTTTTGATGCACTTGTGCAATTACCCCCGAAAACACTATACATAAAATTAGGTCCGATTGAAAAAAAAAAAAAAAAACAAAGTAGATGCTAATGCATCCTATCCACAACCAAGTTCTGGTGAAAACTTTTTTGGTTTCATGAAAAATAATATTATATTTTTTTGCCAAGTAGGTCATTGGCTTTTATGTGAGGCTACTTGGCAAAAAAATATTATAATATTATTTTTCCATATCTTAACAAAGTCGGGTTTCCCAGTAGTTTTTTTGATGTTATATTGTGAGTATTAATTGCCTGACCTTTGTGCTCCCATAAATGATAACGTTACAAATACATTCCTAAAGTATAATTCAAACCGATAAAAATGTGAGACACAATAACTGACTAAATTTAATTAGTTCAAAGATATTTGGCGTAGCGTTTATTAAGTATATTGTGGTTTTTAAAAATGAAAATAATTGCTTCTTGTGTTCTGATTTTGGTATGTAAAAGTTGTGTTCATAAATATATGGGGTATGGTTACTTTCGTTACAAAAGTTTGTTTATAATCACGGTGATAACATACAAGCCTGCACAACTTTTATTGAAGCTTCATAAGCAAGCACCAATGAGTCCTAGTGAACAAAACTGTACTTGGGTAATAACTTGTGTTAATAGAAAAATACCCATGTGGTGCGATTCAGCCTAATAACTTCATGGAGAAACACCCTTCCAACAGACATTGGAGTATCTCGGTGACAGGTCAAATTGTTCTCCGCAAATTTACAGGTTTATTATAAAAAATAAATTATCACTAGTAAAGATATACCTAGGAAATTTTCCTTTGTGAACCACATACTTGAATTGGTCATTTTTTCGTTCCCGTTCCCAGGAACTGACACGAAGGTACTGCATATCTGGCGGAACGCCGAAAGAACCTTACTTCCCACTACTCACAGCAATGCCTTTTCTTACACCTTTGTAACATAACAAAAATGAATGCAAGAACTGTTCTGTCTTTCTTTGTCTCAACTCCAACTGCTAGCCTGGGTTTTTTTGGATGAGTGCGGTTCTAGATAGGGATTGAAAACAAGGGTAACTTCCAATGCGATGCAAAACTTACTATGATACCTACCTATCCTACTGACTGCACCAATTAGGTCGATCATGATAACTGATTCGTATTTTAAAAAATTTATTAATTCCCATTCAGGCAATGAAATCTAATTAGGTAATGGCCCAATTAAGGACCATTGAGAAGTTTTTTTCTCTCTGCCGGACCATCCGTGGACGCGTTTCGCTGTATTACAACAGCTCATCAGCACGGTTAAGGTCCGGCAGAGAGAAAACACTTGATGAAATGATGAAATCTAAGCTAAGGTACATTTATAAGTTCTATCTGCAAATCCGGTCCTCCGATCGAAACTGCATTGTTATCGTGTTCGGCATCACACGAACTACTGAACATTTCAATGTAAATAACATTCTGCATTCTGTAGTTCGCTCAGGATTTTCCGGCGACATCTTCACTGGAGCTGCCAAGCCCTTCCGCGGAATTATTTCCGTATCATGCCATGGTTAAGGGAATCTTTAGATGCAATGGTATTTTGATCAGTGAAGACTATGTATTAACTCTGGCTTCATGTATCAATGGGTAAGTCAATTGAATATTCTATATCTATGATTATTATTAAAACCCGAAAATATATATGTGTCCTCCTAAAGCTGTTTTTATGTAAAATTGATGTAAGGCCTGTTTTAGGTCAGCACAAGTGACGGTTTACTTTGACTATCGCAAAAATCCAATGTACTCCACCAGCATCGGTGATCCAACTATGAAAGTTTACGTAGCTCAAAATATAAAGATTCACCAAGACTTTTTACGTACCGACAATAACGGTAATCGATATTTGAATAATATAGCCTTGATAAAGTTACCTCAACTAATACATGAGAGAACAGCTAAGCTTGCGACTAAAGTGGAAATTGAAATGGCGCTGGATGAAAATGCTGATGCTAATCTTACGGGTTGGAAGGCTTCGGCAAATACAGATTTATTAGTAGCAGCAGTGCGACTTAGTAGCCAAGATACCTGCAGATTTTTGTTTGGAAATGAAATGTTTCTAAACCAGGAAATCTGTATCAAAATGTCACATGATAGTTATCCAAATTGGATTGGAAATTCTTTGAGCGTGAATGGTAAAGTTATAGGATTGCTCACAATAAAACCGGAGTGTGCTGTGGCTGTTAACAAATGTAGTCGCACTGCTGTTGTGCTCAGTATTGCTCCGTTTCTCAGATGGATTTCACAACATACCAACATTCCTATTGCATATTTCACTAATATCAACGCGAAATATAATAATAAATACAATGAAGACAAAATTGAAAAGTTATATAAACTTGTTGAAGAATTAAGGAAAGCTATATCAAAATTGCAAGAGGGAAATTAAGACGCTAGGACAAAAGTAATCTTTTTCAATAAAAATTATAATTTTGCAAAAGCATGAAATTGTTTATATAACATTATCTCTAGCTGGGTTTTGGAACTTTTGTACTCGTGTAAATTTATGTTAATTGAAAATATCGTTCTTTTTAAGTGTGTATTTTCATTTTGATTTTAAAGAAAAACAACTAAATTGGTGGAGAAACGAAATAAATAATACTTACATACATTTATTGTTTTTGTTGTTTCATAAATCTAACATTCTGATTGGGTATTCAAGTTATCGTTATTTTTGCAGAAAAAGGTCAGTATAGTTTATCTATTAGGTATAAAATGTGTATATTAATATTTAATTATTGATTTCTTATTATTCGTCAGTCGGAAAAAGGCTTATTTATTTTATGAAAGCCTATAATTATTTGAACATAGAAATAATAAAACATTATTGCAGAACTGTGGCTTGAAATATTGTGTGAAAATGAAGCGAGTAAGTTTCTAAGTATTTTATGATTCTGTAAATTTAAGCATACCTCCAAAAGGAAAAAATGTCGGTACCTATAGGAAGAGGTAATTTCATATTCATAGTATATTATTCTGATATTGATAATGTAGAAAACGTTTTCTCTGCTAACTTTTTGTTCCATAGCCCCAATGAAGATCTTAAAAATAGAGACCAAAACTTTTTCCTTTTTTTTGTATGCATTTTTATCCCAACAATTAATTGTTTCTTGTGGGTAAAAAGGGATATTTTGTGCAAAAGTAGCCCAAAGTCACGTGAGGTTTTTATTATAGGTACATTTACTGAAAACATTTTCTATATTCCAGTACGTATTTATTGTGGCAGCTCTATTTCTCTACAGCATTCACGCCTATCCCTCTGATTCAGATCCTAAATCTGCAGCAACAGTTTCTGACGACAAGAAAATTGAAGAAAATGTAGAATTATCCAATGAAAATATACAAGGAGCTGCGTTTTTGAATAGCAATGGTACCGAAGGTGACTTGGCTACTGCCGAGACAGCAATTTTTAGGCCTCTTTTCGTGTATAGAAAATATACTGCTAAAAGGAGGAGAGTGGAACCGATATACCCATATTATATTTAATATTAAAAAATATACTTATACATATTCCATAGCAAAAGAAAGTTGCACACAATGTCTGCGTCTGTAAATTGAATCTAAAATAAATGTCGAATAAAGAGGAAATTTTGTTTTTGTTGGTAGTGCAATGAATGAATTAATAAATTTTCTGAATGGCTTTGATTCAAAAGTGATAGATAACATATTGTTATAGGTAGGCATCTAAATTATTAGATCTTAGTAGGTTACTGAATACCTATAGGCGCTGTTTCAGTTTTTGGAACGATTGTGAAAAGGTTAGTTGTTCCATGATATCTTTAGTAAGTTGATATTTGTGAGTTTACTAATTATGTGACGATTTGTTTACCTGAAACTTTCCTGTGAACTTGGTAAAATCCCAGACGTCAACTTAAGATGGCTTTTTTAGGCATTAATAGAGAATTACTGAAGCATTATTATGAAAGAAGATTATGTCTAATATAAGCTTGCAAATCTTGCTTTATTTTATTCAAATAGAAAATGAAAATAGGTTGACACTAGTGTAGTATAACATACCCGGGTTCGTTCAGTAAGATTGAAAGGTGTGAATTTTTATTACCTTTTAAACAACAAATCTTCTGAAAAATTAAATGAAAAACAAATAGGACCTACGTTGAGGAAACTTACTCAATTTTACTTACTGGACATGCGCCCGACATAGCACATATTTGGGAAATTTAAGAGAAGTTGTGATATGTAAAAGAAACGAAAAATTTGTGAAACGTCTACTTTATTATTAAAGTAAATCGTACCTTTCTCATTCTGGAACTAACGAGGGGAAAGAGCACGGCAGAGAAACCCTCGATCTAACATTCCTCAAAAATCGAAACATACTATGTAATTTTAATCATAATTGTGAGTCATTTATTCAATAATTTAAGTCAATAAAAGTTTAAATTAGGTACCGCCTCTGCTCTTGTGCTTAAATTTCAATTACACAGACTACATTCAATCAACACTACCTATATTCAATACTGAAGAGTTTTTGGTTAGTTAGCCAGTTTCCCAGCAGATACTGAGGTCCCATACGGGAAGCTTCTCAGCTATAGTTGTTTTTGAGCCAATATCTCTAGATTGATTATTTCAATTTGTTAGGATATTCTCTCGTCAGGGTAGGAAAATGTTAGTAAATTCAACAAGGCCCTATTACACGCTCTGAATCCACAGCACATAATTTCTTAGGTTCTAATTTACTTCTTTATCTGTGTTGTTTACAGTATGAAACGATTTTTAATAAATACATGAACAATGCACATGTTATAAAAAATGTTATAAACAAACAAAAAATCATAAAAATGGAAAAAATGATATTTGTATAAATTGAACTCTCACAAACAGAATAATAATTAATCAACTAACCTGTGAACGCTTCTTACACACACACACACTAATAACAAATTGGATTGAAGAAACAATTTTAATGCAAAATAAAAATGAAAATTGAATAATGAATAATTACAGACACGCGACGCGTTTTCTAAGGGACCAGTCCAGCTCGTTCTGTAGTCTAGTTGCGTATTCTCTTGTATCCTCTTCGGTTTCGGTACCTTCGTTTTCTGTGGCGCGCTCGTTCAATCCTAAACTTGAGGGCGCATACATGGTTGCAACATTTACTTTTATTCAATAAACATTTTTCTAAATAGTTAAGATTTTAAGAAATAATATTTTAAATAGGTGGTTTTCCTCACTAGATTTTATAAAAATGAAAAATGTTCAATTAAAATAAATACTAGATACTATCCATTTATTTTTATTATTATCCAATCAACTACCTACATTATACAAATATATATTTTTTTTTATTTGGTTACAAAACTTCAAATGGTAAGGCTCCATGGTACTTTGTCATCGGTTTTATCAAAAACCTGAAAATAACAAATATCGTGATGAAATAAATCTCCAACTTCCATTTCGTAACGATGATTGACAATCCATTATATAATATAATATGATTTTTTTAGTTTCAATTTTCACTTACTTTTTCTAAAAGTTTGTCATGGCATGCTAATCGAATACGTTCGGATGTTGCCGGACAGTCTAGTTGAAATGCTTCAGAAGCACCATTAGTTTTCCTTGCGAATCGTATGGCATCTTTGATAGCAAAAACTGCAGCACAGGATAAAAATAAAGGTGGTTCTCCAACAGCCTTGAAATAAAAACAAATGGATATAATTGTATATTACTTAAGGAGCGTTTAATATAGTTGTTATATGCAAAGCTACGACTATACTTTTAAATCACGACTATCAACCACATTAAAATTGAGTCGAAAATGACCGAACATGATGGAAATTGAATTGTCTTTAAGATTATTTTTGAGTGGCTCATGAAAATCAGTGTAAGAAGTATAGTTTTGTGCTTGTGAATTACGTAAGATAATTGTGCTATTCGTCGAATTCATTGAATTTGATTGTTTAGAAAGAAGCGTTTTTGGATGAGAGTTTAGATAATGTCAATTCGGAGGACTCTGCGAACTACACACAATTGCTATCTAGTAATGATGAAGTAACGCCTACTTAATGCAACCCTAGAGGTGATGGAAGGACGTCTATTCGGTCGAAGATGTGTTGGAGAGCAAGAGCAACAAGGATCTGTTGCGATTTTTGCTGGAAGAGCAAAAAGAAAGCAACTTGCCGAAAGCCAGGGTAGACGTAACAGCGCCGATTTCCTTCCCCCCCCCCCCCCCCTTGAAAGCAGAAAGCGTGACAAATAATGAAACAGTTTTTTAAGTTCAAACAAGGTAGACCAATGTTGCCAAACCTCCCTCTTCTTCTTTTCATGGACTAGTGAACCTACAGCAAATCGAGCAGGAAGTACACACGCGATGGAAAAACAAAAGCGCTCGTCGACCGATGGAGGAGAAAAAATAAGATGTAGAAAATATGAAGAAAAATAAGGAATCTGCTGAGAATCAGAAATTTACGCTAGTATAAAATCGAAAAACAAACCGTTAAAAGAACCAAAGTTTAGTTTTTGAGAATTTCGCAAGCTTTTCTCAGAGGGCATATCAAAGACCTTGAGGTTGAACCTTTGCCAGTTAAATGGGAAACTATCTCTTTCAAGGTAAGCATCCATTCGCATTGTACGGAAAAGTTTTCAGGACCGAATGTCTGGCCAAAGGGCGTTGTTATACAAAAATTCTGGAAGAACAATGTATTTCTGAGATCAAGTGAATTAGGCCAGTGTATAACTGGAAATGGTGGACACAGCACAACTGGTTTCCTCCAACTCCAACCTAACAGTGCCAAACGGAAAAACTCCACCGTTCATTGAAAGGGTTTCCCATAGTATGCCAGAGGTACCCTTTTGTCACAGAGAAATACGAAAATCCCTTAAAAAGCTAGATACAAACAAAGCAATGGGTCCGGATGGCATTCCCGCAATAGTACTCAAAAATTGCGCCAACGAACTCACCCCAACTTTCGCAAAATTATTCAATTTGTCTTACAGGCAAGGAGTATATCTATCATCATGGAAGTCTGCCGCAGTACAACCCATTCCAAAGAAAGGAAAAAAGACAGATCCGTTAAACTATAGACCAATTGCTCTACTTCCGGTGATATCAAAAGTAATGGAAAGAGTTGTGAACAATCACCTAACCAAGTACTTGGAAAAGTACAAAATTATCAACGATAAGCAATACGGATTTCGAAAATATAGGTCAACTGGCGATTTACTTACATACGTCACTCACTTATGGCAAAAAGCGATTGAGTTGCGGGGTGAAACAAGAACAATTGCCTTAGATATATCTAAAGCATTCGACAAAGTTTGGCATGAAAATCTGCTCAACAAGCTCAAAGCAATGGGATTATCGCCGAAACTTTGCACTTGGTTTGAAAGTTACCTAAAGGACAGATCCATTTATGTTGCACTGGATGGCCAGAACTACAACTCTTACCAAATAAATGCTGGTGTGCCACAGGGAGCAATCCTTTCGCCAACTCTTTTTCTGATTTACATAAATGACCTCATAGATAAAACAGTAAATCCACTTTATTGCTTTGCAGACGATGGCAATGTAGTCTCCTCACTCATACCACCCACAGGTCTTTCCGCACGTGAATTCCATCATCTTAGACTAACTCAAATATCGCAGATAAATAACGACCTGGAGATAATAGAGGACTAGGGTAACAAAAACCTTGTACAGTTCAACGCGCAGAAAACCCAAGCAGCTCTGTTTTCAAAATAGACCAGCACCAGTGAGCCAAACATCATGCTATCTGGAAGTGCTGTCACATTACAGAGTCAGTTGAACATCTTGGGGGTTACTGCAGAGACCAACATGTCTTGGCACAGTCACGTGGCAGATATTGCTAAAAGGGCGTCCCAAAAGCTGGGGGTGCTATTTCGTACAAGACATCTCTACACACCAAGCCAATTGCTGACACTCTACAAAGCCCAGATTCGACCAACTATGGAGTACTGCTCACATATATGGAGTGCAGCACCCAAACATGCCTTAATGCTTTTGAACACCATGCAAAAACGAGCTATCAAGCTGATCAATGACCCCGCACTTACTCGTAACTTGGATGGTCTCGAACATCGCAGATCTGTGGGCGATTTATCTCTCTTCTACAGGTACTATCACGGAAAATGCTCTGAAGAGTTGGCACGTATGATTCCACCGAGAGTAGCGCCTACCAGGCGAACCCGTCAAACAGACGCTAACCATGAATTTACTGTCAAACTAGAGGCACCAAGAACCTCATTATATCAGAATTCATATCTCTGGAGAACAGCATCGCTGTGGAATAAACTCCCTGCGACGGTTTTCCCTGCAGGTTACAACCTGAACCGTTTCAAGACCAACATACACCGACATTTCCGCGCACTTGCCGCTTCTCGAGCGTGATAGGACATTTCCTTGCGAGTGGGCATATCCGTAAAAAAAAAAAAAAATATTATGATTTATTAAAATATTGCTGGTGGTCTTAGGACTAAACTTAATGAGGTTCGGCAGGCTATTGAATGTTGTCACTATGATGTTGTAATGCCTCTGGAGTCATGGTAAACGGTATTTGATGCAGATCTCTGTCCAGAGCATTTTGATTTGTTTCTCACTAATCATTTTTCAGCTGGGGATCCCAGAATTCTAGTGTCTGAATTATTACAATTGTCGTCAGATGAACACTATCACGTGTTCACCAATGTGGTGTTTTCATTTGAGCACTGTTGAGATTGACAGAGCCACCGATATGATTCTCAGTAATAGTGTTCACCACACAGCTATGTATATCTATGAGATTCAGCCATAATGTAGAATGCAAACGTTCTAAGTATGAGGAGTGCTTTTTTGTTTTTAAAAATGGCAATTACATTTCATTGAATGATTTTGGCCGGTGTTGATTGGTGTATAATGAATGATTTGGCCCTTGATCAGGCTACCCTATGGTTTTATTAAACACTTAAACATTAATTTTATATGTTCCATTCCATCCACAACACTGAGCTGCGTAGATTGTTGGAAAGATGAAGCTTCACAAAAAATTTAAAGGAACGGGAGATAATTTGGACTATTTTTTGTTGTTCTCTGAAGTGAGGGATAGTTGCAAGAATTTGAGCGACTCCTCTTATAGAATGTACCTGCTCAAAATTGAAAATAGCATTAATGGGAATCCTTGATCACTTTGAACACATTTCAGCAATTTTAGTTCTACTGGCTGCAGTAATAAAGAGACCTGTAGACTTGTTTGCGGACTTTTCTAGAGTTTACTCGAGCCGTATCACTAATAAAGCTTCGGAATACTGATTTTCCAACGTCACTGATGTTTCCGGATAATGTTTCTTGTGCTGAGATTATAGAAAAATTAAAAATTTCACCTGACAAGTTGTCATGCGGGCCAAATGGAATTCCGTTCTTCTTCATAAGGAAATATCTGTAAACCCTTGCGACGCCTCTGGCTAGTCTCTTCAACCATTCATTATCGACAGGTTTTTACCCAGTTTCAGTTCAGCGTTTTGAAACCAATACATATTTAAACGTAGTTCAAGAAATCCCAAATTACAGGACTGTTTACTCATAGCCTGAGATTCCTAAGTAGCTGGATTATCTCATTACCAAGAAACTCAGCTGGGACCATAGGTACCTTTTAAATCTGGAACAGCATAGGTTTACGGTGGGTCGGTCGACATCAACAAATTTGGTTTTGTATCAGAATTAAATTTTGAACAGCATGGAGAGGGGGTTTCAGGTTGATTCTGTATACTCGGACTTCTTTACAGCCTTTGACAGGGTTAACTATCAATTGCTCATCAGGAAGCTTGATTGTTTGGGGTTGAGAGGTCCAATTTTGAGTTGGTTTGCTGACTTTTTTGTTAAGAGAACTCAGGCAAATAGGTGTGGCGGTGTTGTGTCTCGTGTCTTTGATGTTCCTTCTGGCGTAGCTCAGGGGTCTCACTGTAAACACATCCTATACAATCTGTCTATATCCGATGTGGGTAGTTCCATTGCACACAGCTCATTTATTTCATGATGAGATGACCTCAAACTTTATCGTCGGGTATCATCATTGGAACACTCACAACTGCTGTAGGATGATATCGATTCTTTTGTTAAATATGGTGTGACTCGAACTAAATGGTCAAATGGACCTCAATATTGACAAATGTTATTAGATAACTTTTTCTAGGTTGCCCCAAACGGTAAAATTCCCTAACACAATTATTAACACATCTACCAGGAAAGAAGCGAGCATTCGTGATTTGGAAGTGCAATTTGACTGTCATTTAATGCCCATATTATCAATACTCTCTCAAGGGCTGTTAGATGTTTGAGCTTCATATGACAGGTCCACTACTGATATGTCTGTGAGTAAATGACAAATATTGTACTGTGCGACGCAGCATTGGAAAGGGTTCAGAATAGATTTCCAAGGGTGGCTGCTTACAGATTGGGCTTGGTTCATGATGAGTATACTTATGACATACATTGCAAAGCAGGAAACTTCAGGCGGATCTTTCTCTCATTCACAAATTTTTAAGAGAGTTTATTGACTCCGAGATCTTTTGGGTCTCGTTTCGTTGAGAGCAGGAGAAAGATTGGTTAGGTAGAAAAGCATTGCTAGACCTCGCCACCATTATCATAAATATATGTTTTATAATTTGTTTTTGAAAAAAATAAAAGACCTGTTTATTTATTTATTATTTGTTTGAAGAAGGGTGAGAGGTACTGAGCTGCTTTATGGAACATTCCATATTACTAATTATGGTATGTTGTAAAATTAGGTATTTTGTAAATTGTATTTTTATTGTTATTGTAAATTGGCCTTGCCGTAAATTACAAAAAAAAATAAAAGTATGAAATTATTTTTGTATTTACTATTCGAGGTGTAATGCCGACATTTTTTGGAAACAGCCTATCTATGAAGTAGTATGGGAATAAAGAAATTTTTCACAATAAAATGTGGCGTCATATCATAAAGGTAATGAAGTTTGGTTTGATTTGGTGGAATCAAAATAAAAAGCTATACGAAATGTCATAAACTTTGAATGACCATTTGGGAACTTATAGAAACTATAGCATACGCATAATTTACCAAAAATTACGAAAATACAATTGATTCCAAAAAATGTGTTAATAAAAGAAGAAGTTTAAAAACATTTAGTTTATTCGTACCTTTGAAGAATACACGGCTCTTGGATTGGATGAACCTTTGAGCAGCGATACATTAAATTCTCCAGGTATATTCCCAAATCCAGGTATTTTGTAATTTCCAGGACCTCTAGTTATTATAGAACCCTTTGGCGTAAACAATTGTTCTTCCAATGTGTACAAGCCATAACCTTGCATGAAAGCACCTTCTATTTGACCTATGTCAATCGCTGGATTTAAACTTTCACCTAAAACATTTTCCATTAAATTCTGGTTTTGATTAACACTTATAAATTTCATGTATTTTGACTCTGTATTAATTCATGCAGTAAACTAAGTTTATAATGGCAACTTTGTTTATCAGTTCTTCCATGAACTTTTCGTGTTTTAATTCAATCATCGGTTAAAGTTTGATTTGAATAATATCGTAACTTTAACGAACGTTAGATCATGTACCTATTCGTTTGTGTCAGAAATTCGATCAATCCCAAAATTTTTAGCTTTTTTATTTCTTGGTCAGTTTATATAAGTATTTTGGGATATTTACGATAAAAAAAGCTGCCATATTCACTTAGACTATAGTTTGTTGAAATGGCAACATTACCAATATCCATCACAATATCTGTTCGGATAATCTTGTGGTCTCCAGTTAGTGTATCAATTTCAACCTCAGTACATCCAACGCCATAAGTAAAATAATTGTACATGTTGCCCTTTTTTTTTACCCAATCGTAATTTATGTCAGGCGTTTTATAAAATCCTACAAAAATTAATATTGTTAACAATGCAAATACATAATACCAGATGATCTTATTACTGAATTTACTCAGCAATTATTCATATGCAGTTTCAAGATTTCAAAAGATTTTCAAAGCTTAAAATGTGATTTTCCTTGAATTTTTTTGTCATTGAAATTTGTCATTTGGAAATGATGTTAGAGTCGTATTCAACTAACTCAACTATCTATTGGTTGAGTCAAATGTGAGCAATATTGAAAAATAAATTTTTTGAATAATTGGTCCTTTCATTCAATTTTTAAATAATTTGATTAATCCAGTTGGAGTTCTCAAGCACAAAAATGTTCTACCGCGCATATTTTTTATGCGTAAGTTTCTCACTTTGAAACCCCAAGTTTCGACAACGGTAGCAGATTTGAGTATTTAATTTTTTGCAAATAATTAGGAAAGTAGTTAAAAATAATTTTGAGACAACAAAAATCTGAGAGCGAGTGTTAATTTATTCTTTTCAGGAACTTCTAATACAAATTTCCATTGAGGTGTAAGAAAAAATGTCACGCGAAGTAGTAGCTTAAGTAGGTCAGTTTCATTTCGATACTTGTGTTTTTTTCGATAAGTGATAAGTGAATTTTGTATAAAATCAATTAGTTTATAAAAAAAAGTTGTAACATTACTGTTTGTGTTAGTGAAATTTAGTGAACCCGGAATCCGTGAACATATATTGCCTAAATCCTACTATTGAATGTAAATATCTCGAAAACAGTACCTAAGAGCTCAAACAAAACCCATTCAGAACAGTTTAATAGGGAATTTATAGCTCTTTCATTGTATATAAATCAAATAAATTTGCTTCAGCAATATTAAAAATATGAGCACTTATTCATTACCATGTCAAGTTTTCAAAAGATTCTGAATATTTGGGACATTTTTAATGGTGCCTGCCCCTTCAAAAATTTATAAACTGTAATAGTTCGATAACCTTACCAGATAGGTCGAAATTTTCAGAAATTGTAGGTTCTAATAAATCCTTCAGAACATTATATTAGTTGACATCCATAGGCTTAGGTGTAGAACGAAATTTCGACTGAACTTCAACTTTGAACTTCAATGGCTCAAAAACTATCCAAGCTACAAGAACTAATTTAACACAGTTAAATAGAGAATTTAATCATCTATATCAAATAATGGTGAATAAGAAAGTCAAACGAAATGCAGCAACTAGCTGATTCCAACAGTACCAGGGCCTTCTTTCAGGCTACTAAGATGGAATACAGACCAACCACTCAAGGACTCAATTCCCTACGATCCAAGGATGGCACAAGACTGCTTAAAGACAGTTTCTTCATTAATTCTCGTTAGAAGTGAGGAAAACCACCTATTTAAAATATTATTTCTTTGAATCTTAACTTTTTAAAAAAGGTTAGCTGAATAAAAAGTAAATGTTGCAACCATGTCTGCGCCATCAAATTTAGGGGTGACCGCGTTCGACCACAAGGAACGGTACTGCGAACGGGAGATAGAGAAGACGCAACTAGACTAGAGAACAAGCTGGGCTGGTTTCGTTAGACGCGTGTCTGTAATAATTCATTATTCAATTTTCATTTTTATTTTGCATTAAATTGATTGTTCAATCCAATTTGTTATTAGTGTGTGTCAGGGAGCGGTAAGGTCAGTTGAATAATTGTTATTTTATTTTTGAGAGTTCAATTATTTATAGAAGTATAATTTTTTTAATTTTTATGTTTTTTTTTCTTTGTTTATAACATTTTTTATAACATGTGCATTGTTCATGTATTTAACAATAGTATATTGTTGTATTAGGAGTAGAAGCTTTACTTTCTTGTGCTGAAGCAGTAGGTTTGCGAGCCGAACGTAGTGAGGCTTGCAATACTGCTGAAGCACAAAAAAGTGCTTCTACTCCGTATGCAACACGCTATTTTTTCTCCAGACGAATGTGGTAAGCTCGGGGGTAATTGGATGGTTGAGCGGCAGTAAAAGTACGAGCGGCACTAAAAGTACTTTTGCTGCCGCTGGGGTTGCCAAGCAGCATAGAAATTAAATTTATACTACCTCGACAGGTGTTAACCTCCTGGATTTGCCTAGCAACATAGAAATTGAATTTCTACCATCTTGACAGGTGTTGACAAAGTGATGTTTTTTTGACGTTTGGAGAAAAAAATCGTTTCATGCTGTAAACAACACAGATAAAGAAGTAAATTAGAACCTAAGAAATTATGTGCTGAGATTTTGATTTTGTGAATTTAGAGCTTTGTTGAATTTACTAACATTTTCCTACCCTGACGAGAGAATATCCTAGCAAACTGAAATAATTAATCTAGAGATATTGGCTCAAAAACAACCATAGCTGAGTAGCTTCCCGTATGGGATCTCAGTACCTGCTGGGAGACTGGCTAAATAACAAAAAAAACTCTTCAGTATTGAATATAGGTAGTGTTGATTGAATGTAATGTTTTTAATTGAAATTTTAACCCAAAGACAAAGGATGGTACCTAATTTAAACTTTTATTGACTTAAATTATTGAATTATTGACTCACATTTATTATTAAAATGACACAGTATGTTTCGATTTTTGAGGAATGTTGGATCGAAGGTTTCTCTGCCGTGCTCTTTCCCCTCGATAGTTCCAGGATGAGAACGGTACGATTTACTTTAATAATAAAGTAGACGTTTCACAAATTTTTCGTTTCTTTTACATATCACAACTTCTCCCTAATTTCCCTGATATTTGCTGTCGGGCGCATGTCCAGTAAGTAAAATTGAGTAAGCTTCCACAACGTAGATCTTATTTGTTTTTCATTTCGTTTTTCAGAATATTTGTTGTTTAAAAGGTACTAAAAATTCTCATCGTTCAATCTTACTAAACGAACCTGGGTATATTATACTACAGAAGGAAAACTTTCAGGAACTACTCAACAGAAAATCACAAATAATTAATGATTTCTTTAACGAAATTCCACAGAAACCAATAGAATAAGTGCTGCGCGAGGTTCCTCGATTATAGGAGGTTGAAAAGGCAATCTGAATCAGACAACTAAAGAACCATAAGTCAGCTGGTACTCACGGCATGCCTGCTGAATTCTTTAAACAAGGAGGCTCTATAATAAGTGCCTAAACCCACATCCTAAAAAGTCAAATATGGGTTACTGAGACAAGGCTCAATGTGGAAATTACAGAGGAATATCTTTACTTTCTATTGCGGGAAAGATATTTGCCAGGATATTATCAAATCGTTCAATTCCAACGGCCTAAGAGAACCGTCCAGAGACACTGTGTGTCTTTAGACCCAACCGAGGTACATGATTTTCAGAGCAAGACAAATACAAGAGACATCCAGACAACAAAGTCGCCCTCTTCAAATGGCCTCCATAGATTTAGTGAAAGCATTTGATTCGTCCAACAAAGAAGCTATTTGGAAGATATTGGTAAAGGTTGGGTCTCCGCAAAAGTACATTCATATACTCCACCTGCTGCATGATAATGTAAATCCCACCGTAGTGTTAGGCAACGATGTACCTATAAGGAGAATCTTTTCAATAGTAATACAACTAGTGCAATGGAAATTATTGATAACTTTTGGGAAATTTGCCCGAATGCATTTTTAGTTGAAAAAGAGCACGAGTGCACGTAGTGCACGAGCTACATTGGCTGCAATTAAGTGCAAATTTGTCGAAAATTATAAATATATTTCCATGATGTTTTTAAGGAAAATATGACAAAGTGCCTCATCGCTATCAACCATTGGGAGACGACGGCAAATGATAGGCCCTCATTGCATCGAGTATCTAGTCCACGACGGACCTGAAAACTTTTGAAGAACAGCGACGCAGACACGAGACCGAGAATAGGGGTCGTAGGAAGAAGCAAGAGAACAGAGGAAGAGACCATGATGCCCGAGTGCCAAAACTGTGGCAGAGTGTGCTGCTCCAGAATTGGCTTATGTAGCCATCAGAAAACGGATATTTGATGAGATTAAGAATAGAATAGGAGAAAATTATACTCGTGGTCGAGTGCTCGCTTTAATTGGCCCATATACATATTATTGAATTGAATCCTCTGACTAATAACATAAAATCACTATAGATCAACAACTGTTCACGAATCAATATCACTAAAATTCATACTTATAACTGATCAACTAACTCTTTGAAAATCGACTCACTGTCCGATTCACTATTGCCTGTGTGCGACTTTTTTTATAGCACTTTCTCTAATTTTCTATCAAATTCCCTTCCTAGAATTTCTTATAAATAGCCGAATTGCGAGAAGTGACGCAATTCGCTTGAATATTTCACCAACGTTAAATCCAATTCTCGAAAATTTTGGTGGACATCCTTTATACAGGGGTTGAACGACAAGTACAAAAAACGGCTTAATACTCCGTATCCCCCATGCGGTGTTGCTAGGTTGAGTACAATTTACCTTAACTTAAGAAATACTGAAATTTTACAACATCGCATTCCCTGTGATTGATAACAATATTTGTTTCTCAAGGAGGAATATGAAACGGTAATAACTGCTGTTAGGTCTCGATCTACTTGGTCCACATACTGCATCCAAACCTGTTTCTTCTTTTTTGGAAAATGTTAACGGACAAACTATTAATTAGCAGTATTATTAGATAAATCGTGTATGTGTTCTGTAGTTAATTGCAGCTAGCTGTTAAATAATGAAAGGCTGAAATAATGCAGCTATTTCAGTCATTGGCTGTAACTAAATTTATTTCGTGAATCCTCAATTACATAGATTTCATCGGATTAAATGACTTTTCAATCAACCTTGTCTCTAACATGAAACATTCGATCAATTTTAGTCAATCTGCTTCCGATCTTGAGAAATCAAAGAGAGTAACGCATATGTTTTATGAACGACATTTTGCCTTAATTGAGTCAAATAAAATTGATATCGTTTATACCATGAAATACTTGGGATTTTGCTTTATCGGATCGGCTGAACGGGGTCATTGATCTTCAGTGAATCCAACTCTAATAATAATGTTTGTAGAGCTTACCTGTTGCTGATAAACTAACTCTTCCCCTATGTGCATCATTAACCCACTCTTCCCAGGTACCATTTGGATTGGCATCTTGAAATGGTTTTAGTCTGGCTTTGATCTTTTGGCAAGCATTCTAAAAAAGATACTGTGAAAATGTTAGTTATACCTACTTATAAAATAAGATAATTGAATATGTAAAAGGGCTCTTTAAAAAAAATATATATTATATAATAATTAGATCTTGCTTTTTTTAATAATGAGCTGAGCGCAAAAATCCTTTCTCTTCTCCTAGTTCCTTTCAAATCTATATCCTGTCTATAAAACTGGTCTAAGGTATGTCCCAAACTTCCTCCTTCACCTAATGGAAGGCACCCCTAATACTTAAGTTGAAGACCACTATTTCACCATGATTTTTAGATAAACATTATATTATAATGTAGCGCTTACAAGAACTGCACCACCATTCCAATCCGATCCCAAACTGGCGGCTGTTTCAAAGGTGTTTGGTACTATCGCAGTATTAGTGTGACTGGTAAATATCCGATCTACAGGTATATCCAAGACTCTAAAAAAAATTAAATACACTCTAAATCGATTTATATATTAAGTATTATCCACCTTGTCACTATTTGAATCATTTTCGTATGCAGTCCCTGACCCATTTCAACGCCACCGTGATGCAAAAGCACTGATCCGTCGGCGTAAACGTTGATCAGAGCCGCTCCCTGATTCATAAATACTTCCGGAATTCCGATTCCATGTTTGTTTGGTACAATAGCCAGACCGCGTTTCTTGTAACAATTTTTCCTTGAATGTGAAATTAAAAACTGAGGTATAATCGAAAATAAAATCGATCCTATCCACCCAAAATGAGTAAGGCTGGTAAGGCTTCTGCCTTTAGTATCGATATAATTTTCTACAACTTACTTGTTAAATTTCGTTATTTTCTTTCTCCTTTCAGAATAATTTGACAATTTTATGCATTCCTCCCAGCACTTTTCAATAGTGCAATTTTCTAACTTTTGACCGTAGTATGTTGAATCTCCTTCCTGCAATTGGGAACTTATACCAATAATACACGTACACGTAGTGAGTTTGATATGAAAAACAATTCTGATATAATGAGTATTTTTTTAAATATTTATTCTACCCGCCACACAACTGGCTGTTTATAACCAATAAGTTTATGGAAAAAAAAGATCCGTTGCTGAACCTAGTTGGTTTGGAAATCTGCGATAGAGGTTGTTAAAAACAACTTCAAACTTCCAGTGAAAAAGAAACTGAAATAAACTGCTCAGTTATAACACGTTCATCTGAACAACGACTGCTTCAAACATCTATAGGTGACGAAGTCTTCAGCAGCTACCTCTACAAGTTCTTTCAAAAGATATTTGATTTTATTGATTATACCCTATGATAAAGGAATTGTGTAACTAAATAATATGTCGAATGAGGATTCTAGATACTTCTCCCCTAGTTTATTCCCGATTTTACTAAATCTACGGTTACCTTATATAAATTAATCCTGCTGATTTCACTAATATCTTTTCGCAGATAGTTAGCTATGTCATCCACCATGCTAGTAATGGCAAAGCCAATTTGCGGAGCGCCAAACCCTCTCATTGCTGTATTCGATTGTATATTTGTTCTACACAGAAATCCTCTGCCTCGTATGGTTTGAATATTGAATGCATTTTCCAGATGGGTCATAGCACGTTCTAATACCTAGTTTTAATAAAAGTATATTGCTAAAAATTAAATTTAACTATCTTTATTATGACTATAGTTTTCAATTGAGCAATCCAAAAGATATCCATATCTCAAGTTTCAAATTTAAACTTATAATATTTTCGCGAAAACAATTGTCAGCTAGCCTAAAAGATAATGCATGCGCGGAGAGTCCCTGCATCAATAAAAAGGAGGGCCCACTTGTGAGCAATCTACCGCGGTGAGAATTGTTACCGCTTTTTCAAATTGAGAATTAACTTGAACTTTACTTGTTTTATCTCGAAAAAAGTTGGATGTGAAGTGATTTTGTGCACGGCAAAAAGGTAAGCAAACAGAACTGTTTTCGTTTCTTCTCATTGAAATACCCCCAGTAATGGAGGAGTTGGGATCGTGATACACAAACGAATGGTCCCACCTAAAATACTCAAGGGTAAATCTGACAGGGTGATATACATAACATTGAAAACCAAAAGAATACAACAATCGAAGTCATTCAAATTTACGCACCAACAACCGACAACGCAGGACCAAGAGGTTGAGGAACTTTTTGAAGAGGTAACATATTGTCTGCACGAGAACAAAACAAAGTACACACTAGTTATGGGAGATCTAAATGAAAAAATATGCCAAGATGACACCGACTCATGTTACATTGGCAAATTCGGATAGTACATACAAGAAATGAGAGAGGCAACATGCTTATCAACTTCTTGGAAAAAGAACAACTCTTTGCGATGCATACATTCTTCAAAAAGAGACCTTACTAAAAAATAGACATGGGCAAGCCCAGATGGAAAGACAAAAAACGAAATAGACTTTATACTGATACATCAAAGACACATAATCCCAAGATGTAGACGTCTTAGGCACATTCACGACTGGCAGCGATCATAGAATGGTAAGATGTAAAATGGCCATGAATGGCAAACTAGAAAGAGCAAACAGTAAATACAAAAAACAGAATTATCAACAAAATTAACACAAAAACTGGAGATAGTATCCATAAAGCCCCAAAAAAACGTAAAATGAAATTGATAAAACAATAACGAAAACAATAAAAGAAACAGCAAAATATATCACCGAAGGCTAGGTCAGAAAATTTAGCAAAGAAACAAAAGAGATGCTGGGAAAGAACGAAAACTCATAGAGCAAGGAAAAAAAAAAAGATACACCAGAATACAGAGAGACTAACAAAATAGCCAGAAGGACGATAAAACAAGACATTGAAAACTATCAAGAAGCACAAATTGAAAAACAGATAGAACAACAAAAAGGCTTAAACGCTTTCAAACGGGAGAACGCACACAAAAGAGAAATTACAAAGCTGACGGACAACCAAGGAAATATTATAGAAGACAAATATGGAATCTTGCGTGTGGCGGAAAATTTCTATAAGGAACAATACGATGCAAAAAGCAACAACGAAAATAACAAACAAGAAACCGAAACATCTAAAATTCTAAATGTTGGGTGAGAAGGGTTCTCTGATCCCACACAACAGTGAAAGACCATTCATATTCTCAGAATATTCCCTCAAAGTGCTTTTTGGAATGTTCTTTTAGGAATGTTTAATGAATATTCTAAGATTGTTTCGATTGAAATATTAATTTTTGGACGTTCTATTTATGTACTAGGAATGTTGCTTCTATGCACTTACCTGGAAGATTCTGCTAAGAACCTACTTTATATAATATTATTTGAATATTGTCATAAGAACATTATTATAATGTACCCTAAAAAATGTTCTTTCGGCTAATCCCACTAAGCAATGTAATATCGCTTTGATATTTTAGTAATGTTTCTAGATAATATTGTAATATTTCATTTTTTATTGCTGTTATATAAGTGCAAGGTTGCTGCAATTACTGAAACGGACTTATTCTAATATTCTCAAATGCAATGTTTACAGAATAAACTTTTCTGCAATATCGCCTCAAACTTGTATTTTCATAAAAAATAAATTACGTTTGTAACATTAAAAATGCTAGCTTACAGAAACCTGCATTTAACGTTGTTTATAAACTTAGATAAATATTACAGTTGCAATATTTTTATTGGTACTTTACAGAAATTTACATATTGAAATATTGTATATATGATAAATATTTAATATATCGTAAGGATTTGAATTAATGGAAGAGCCTTTATTTTCAAATTCCCATTTCTGGCAGTCCAACTACAGACCGGGCACAATCGTTAGTTAATAAACTTCCAATTTCCAGTTGATCTTATCACACATGCCTCGATTCCTCCAACATAGTTATTGTAAAAAAGCCACCTAAAATTAAAAATTAAACAGTATTAAAATATCACAAAAAATTAAAATGTTAAAATCTTACATCATTGGCTTTTTTCTCTTCCTCTCCCAACATCTCAAGATCTTGATGTCCTGTTCAATTCTCTTGTATTATTTATCAAGCCAAGAAAAAAGAAGCGTCGTCTGCATCCTCCGTCCTAGCGTCCTGGCTTTAGTGGCTTTTGGTGGCGTGGCGTCAACAGGTCAACAACAAATGGGTGGTGCGTCTGCGCCGTTCCGATTTCCCAAACAATTGTCCCGTCTTTGTCAGTCAAATATATTTTTGCATGACAGAGACAAAGACAGCATATTGCAAATAAAATTTATCTGCAAGCTTTATGCAACATTGAGAAAATTTATGTTTCCTATTCCAAAGTTTATATTGAAATATTTAGATAACGTTTTTTATTCTTGAAATTGTTAACGTACGCATGTAAAGGCATCTGCAACATTACAGCGACAGTTTTAAGAAAAGTTGAGCTTATAATATTTATGCAACCATTTATTTAATTATATATTTTCAATGTTACAAAAGTAAATATTTCCGCAACATTAAAGCGACATAGTTGAGAAAAGTTACATTTCATAACATTGTTATAATATTTGCTTTACTTACATTTTATAATGTTTCAGACGTAATATTTCAGGAAGCTTAACGTCACATTATACGTAATAAATTTTCTAAAGTAAGGTCGATACAATATTGCTGACTAATTTTGCAACATTACATGTTTAGTGGGATATCTCTATCAAGTATTAAGAATATACTTACCAAGTTGTGCTGAGAAGTTTATGTAGGTAGGTAACCATGATAAGAACATTTTCATATTGTTCACCTAATTATCTAAAGTACCTACTCAAAAATCTTAATTGAACAATTAAACAATAATGCTCTATCTAAAACCTACTAAAAATATTATAGGTATATCCTTTTTCTTTTGCTTTGTAGGACTTTCAAGAGAGGGAGCCACGCGCTATTAAAGATCTATATCTTGCCTAGCGTTTGAATCACCTTGGAACCTGTTTCTCTCAGTTGGCGTGCTTACCGCGAAGAGAGCATAACAAGCTCGAAACCGGAGTTTTGGTAAAACACTTGTGTTTTCCAACAACTCTTTCACTGCCTTTAATATAAAAGGACTGAAAGAAGCATTATTTAGAAGCGAAAAATAACATTCCAATTACATCCCTAGAATCAAACAAGAATGTTATCTCTGTCTTTTTCTTCTACAGTTCGATTAAAAGGATGCAAATACACTCAGTGTGCACTGAATCTATCAATCGGAAACGCCATTAGAGAAATAGTATATTATATACCTAGGTAGAGAAGTTGGTCCTTATATACCGAGCGCTTTTATAAACCGAGGCGCTCGCGCCGAGGTTTATAATGAGTGAGGTATATAATGACTTTCTCTACCGAGGAATATATAGAATTTTTTTTACTACTGCTAGTAGAAAATGAAAAAATTGTTTAAAATCTGTGCTCCAATTATTTTTTTTGAACGCCCTCTTGAAAGTGCTGCCCTCTATCAACAGCTTATGATAAGTTCCTATGTACCTACAGAAACCTGTATTTTTTTTCAAATTGATGTATGGAAATGAAATTGAACCAATAGAAACATGACAATATCCTTGCGTCATGACGTCATTTTCATTATTAACCTAGGTATTTTTTCATTATTTTCATTATTCACCTAGGGAGAGAAATTCAATTTTTTCCTAGAAAAATAGATTGAATAATGACAATTTCTCAGGTTAGTAGTAAAAAAAAGTTATTTAAAAAAATATGTCAAAACTGTCCCGATTCGCCCCGTTTGACGGTACCTTGTAAAACAACTAAAAACACTTTTCAATAAATGTCTAACAGAGGGGAAAATGCCTCACGACTGGAAGACTGCCATCGTCGTTCTGCTATACAAAAAAAGAGACCCATCAAATCTTGAAAACTATAGACCCATAAGCCTTCTTCAGATATACAACATGTTTATGAGAATAATCACCAACCGCCTAGAAAGGAAATTAGATGATTACCAACCTAAAAAACAAGCAGCAAAATACGCAGGCTATGGGAAGATGTGTTCAAGGAACTTTGAAAATCCGAGTGTAAACCATTTCGAATGAATAATATTACGCCCGGTAGGGTAAGTACGTTTCATGCTAATTGATATGTAACGAAAACATGCAACGCTAGGCATGAACTCTACTGCCACGAAGTCGAGTTAGTAGTGGGGATCGCCTGAACCATGGGCGCGCTTCAATGCAATGATACCACTAAACCAATTCCTTGACTCATTTCCTGGCATGTTTTTGTGTTTGGGAAAGTTTTACTTCAGTAGCGCTATATGATCACCAATTGTAAGTATTTTTGTTTTTGTAGCAAGTTGGCCAAGTTGGTAAAGCTACACTTTGTACTGTGTAGCTCTACCAACTTGTTATTGTTCACAAATTAACTATTTATATTATTGCTATGTTATATTATGTTATGTTCAATTTTAACCATAATGTTTAAAAGGTAAAGGGTATTATTGTTATTATTATTACCAAGCATGAGGCGGCAATTATTGAAAGGCCTACGCCTACGAGCGGCAAATTTCTCAATCCGCCACTGGCATAATATTCATAGAAAACCAACAGGTGAAAATAGTGAACTGCTACAAGTATCTCATAGGACAGGAAATAGCTTGAAATTAATAGGAGAATACGACTGGGATGGGCAGCATAATATGGTAAAATGCGCCATATATTCCGATCCAACTTACCTCTGAAGCTGAAAACTAAAGTCTATAACGAATGTATTCTGCCAGTAGTTGCCTATGGATGCGAAAGATGGACGTTCACAAAGAAAATCCTAAATAATCTGCAAGTATACTACACCTTTTCCATATGTATTTCAGAGATCGTCAGTTTAATTTCAGAATGCGTCAATTGAAATTCAGATTAGTAAATTGTATTTCGGAAAGCGTCAATTGTATTTCAGAATAAATAATTTTATCTGGGAAAGAATCAATTGTATTTCAGATTAGTTTATTTTATTTCAGAAAGTGTCAATTGTATTTCAGATTAGTTAATTTTATATCAGAAAGCATCAATTGTATTTCAGATTAGTTGATTGTAGTTCAGAAAACGTGAATTGTATTTCAGAAATTGTCAGATGTAGTTCTGAAATTAGTAGGTATCTACGCAGATTTCCCCAAATCAACACAAGATAGGTGTATAGGTGACTCATTATAAATTTTATTTAATACACTACATTGATAATATCTGAAATACATTTGACGAATTCTGAAATACAATTTACAATTTCTGATCTACAAATAAATAATCTGAAACACAAATGACGATTTCTGAAATACAAGTGACCAAACTGAAATACAAATGACTTTTTCTGAAATACACCTGACGAATCTGAAACACAAATGATGTTTTCTGAACTACAACTGACAAAGTTGAAATACAAATAACACTTTCTGAAATTGAACTTACACAACTGAAATACAATTGACGCATTCTGAACTAGAATTGATGAATCTGAAATACAAGTGATACATTCTGAAATACTTATCGAAAAGGTGTAGTGAGCAATCGAAAGGAGAATGATAGATATTACAATTAGGTCCGGTATTATAATGTCCGGTTAACCGAAGGTTGAGTTTCAAACTAAGGTTGACCGTGTCTAAAGGTGCGATTAATCTCCGGTTGAAACTCAACCTTCGGTCAACCGGACATTATAATACCTAATACCGGCCCTAAAGGATCACAAGACCAACGAGTGGATAAGAAACACAACAAAGGTCGAAGAAATTACACATAATGTCTATCGATTTTAATCTGATACTCCAAAGGAATGTGAACTGTTGGCTCCCTACATTAAAACGCCAATGGTTACCTGACGTTACACCTATTTTACCCCCTCGCTCCTTATACGGAAAGTGTCAGATTAAAAACGACGGACTTTAGACTATGCAGCCTCAAATAGAATTGAGCCGGCCACGTAGCGAGAAACACAAGCAACAACTGGAGCGAAAAAGTAACAATATAGAGACCTTGAGGGGAACAAACAACCGTCGGCATATCTCAACAACGCTGCTACGACGACATCAAGCGAACATGAGGACTAAACTGGTACCAGGTCGTACAGAATAGAAATACCTGGCAAAATCTGAGAGAGGCCTATATCCAGAGGATAGAGAACGGCTAGGAAGAAGAAGAAGACTGTCAAGAAACAGATATGGACTGATTATCTAATCACCCGCCAACGTTTTGTATACTCGATCTCTGACATCTTCAGAAACAAATAATTGAGGACTCGGAATTTTGCACTTTGAGAGTACAAAACGTATCAAAATGTCCACATGTTGTTTTGGAGATTTGTCATTATTGGCCATATCGAAACATTTTTTTCAAGATATAAAATTTGTTTTCAGCCAAGGCAAGACTTTGGATAATTGTATCCTCTCTGGGTCCTTATTCTTGAAACCGGGAAGCAGCATCCCCAGGAGCAAGAGTGTTCCATCTTTCTCAATGATATGCAAATGATAATATAAATAACAAAGACAGAAACTCGTTCTCCTGGAAATGCTGCTGCCCTGTTTGAAGGATAAGGACCCTGTTGTGCTGTGAACTCTTTCAAGGTATTGTTTCTACAAGACTCCCTCCCTGCCTTTTCAAAGATTATCTTAAGAAAACGCAGTAAAAATCTTTCTCAAAAATAGGTTTGTTTCAAAACGGACATCTTCCGAAATCTGTTTACTGTGACTTTTCCATCAGAAAAAAAAAAAAAAAAATAATAATTACAAAAAATGAAAAATCCACTGAATATCCTGCATTTAGATAGACCTCGTAGTCCGCAGCCAAAATCTTTCCATCATCATCGAACGCTGCCATATATTTAACATAAAATGGATTTCGTCCACCGTGCATAAACATGTCTTCATTTCGATCTAGCATGCACCTTAAAGCAGAAGGAATTTATTAAAAGAAGTGCAATAATGTAAATAAATGAGTTCATTACCTCACTGGCCTATTAAATTTCTTAGCTGCAATCGCTATGGGTATTGATGTCATTGTAGCTTTCCATTCTTTTCCTCCAAAACCACCTCCCAGTCGTTTAACTTTAACGTTTATTTTATGTTGAGAAACTCCTAATATTTGAGCTATTGTTTTCTAAAAACAGTTTTAACAAAATAAAAAATTAATTTCCAATTTCTAATGCAATTATAATACTTGAATTTCTGTTGGATGCTGTGACGTAGCATAAATGTCCATCTCAGAATCCTCTCCCAAAGGAACTGCAATAAAAGCATGCGTTTCCAAATAGAAATGTTTTTGACCCCCTATCCTTGATTCTCCCTGTATAGATAGTAGGGTTTGGAAACCTTCTCATACTCTAATCAACACTTACCTCTATAGTATTTTTTGCATCTTTAAAAACTCTATCGACGTCACCTTTTTCTATAGATAAATTAAATTTGTCGTCGAAAAAGGAATCATGCCTTATTGCGTCGTCGATTGTCAATAGAACTGGTGTTAAATTTTCATATATTACCTAAAATTGTGCATTCAATTGGAAGATAAAGAAAGACATTAAGAGAAACATGAAGAAATAATAGAATTAAAATTGAAAAAGAGAAGGAAGAACACACTCAAGAAATCGTATATCCATCCCAATCTTTATCACATAAATTTTGCATTTCACTGCATCAATGGCTACGTTCACCAGAACTAAAACGGATTGTAAACCGTTCACAATACCAACAGAATACGTTGGGTAAACTCTTGATTCTGCTAAACGATTCAACTTTTCAATGATAGAACGTCACCCTCATAGGTCACCGGTCACCCTCTGAATGTCATGTCACCACACAAAACACGAAGTGTTGAAAATTATAAACACTCTTAAATTATGCTTGAAAAAATGGCGACCGTTTGAAAACATGTTTGGTTTCAACACAAATTCAACGTAGCGTTCAGCAGAACAATCGCAAAGCTTTTACCAACGTTTGTATCTGGTGAACGCGGCCATTTTCAATGTTCCGGCTGTATCTTGACCTAACTTTTTTTGATGTTGAAGCTCAACTTTAATTGATAATAAAACAAAATAGCATTTTCCAATTGGAGGTTCTTACCTTGACTTTTTTAACAGCTCTTTGGGCTGTGATTTGGTCTACTGCTACCAAAGCAGCCAGGACCTGCCCTTCGCTAGTAACTTTATGAGAATAAAATACCTTTTCGTCCTTAATATGAGTCCCTATATGATTAACTTTTTCAGGTATATCGTCAGCAGTCAATGTACCCACGACACCTTCTATTTTCATAGCATCGGTGAAATCAATTGAAAAGATCTGAGAAATATAAATTATCAAATTAAGTTTGGGAATATTCCGAATGGTGTAACGTCTTGTGAAGGAGCAAGCAAAATATTTCTCATTTTGAAGTCAATCCTTTCAATTTGGAACTGCACTTTAACTTAACCCGAAAATAACTCGACTCTTTTTGGATATGAATTTTTTAGTGGTTCCAACCAAGTAGGTACCTACTTTTGCATGTGGTCTGGTACTACATACGAATGCAAGGTAAAGCTCATCATCAAACTTAGGCATATCATCGACATATATAGCTTCACCAGTGGCTTGTTTAAATGCAGAAAGATGCACTAAAGGTCTTTGTAGGGTATCATTAGATTTTTCTGCATTGGGATATACCTGAAACAATATTTCTCTTGAAACTTCCTAAAAACCTAGACATAAGTATCTAGGTATACTAGAAGTATACTATCTCATGGAGGTACTGTAATAATGTCCACTAATAAGAACTTTTCGGCGATAACCAAGTTCGACAATTTATTATCTGAAAAATTATTCGAATTTTCTATAGTCTACAACAATATCTACGACCTCTACGTTGTTTGTATTTACAGAACACCTGACGCTGACTTGGTTACATTTTTTCAAAACTTACTAAGCTTGCTTGAGTCTTTCCCTCTTAAGAGTAAATTAATTTTATGTGGCGACTTTAACATAGATTTTTCCAGTGTGTGTGCTGCTCAAGATTCTCTCCAGTCTATACTTGACTCTTTTGGTATGGTCATGCATGTTCAATCTCCAACCCGAATAACTAAAACCAGATCTAGCACTATCGACTACGTCGTGTCATCTTTTGATCCAAGCTTTGTTGACTGTACTGTCTTAAGTTCAGGGTTTTCAGATCATGAAGCAGTACTCACAAACTTTTCTCTAAAGAGCAATAGCAGGATTGCCCCACGTAAGTTTCGCCGAATTTATTCGGAAAAAAATTTCCTCAATTTCAAGCGCTCATGTCAAACAATTGACTGGGGTTGCCTCTCTGATGACATCAATAATGCATTTTCAACATTTTCAAATAAATTATCTGGTTTGGCTTTCAAAGCATTTCCCCTCAGGCCTATCAAAAATAAGCAACATAAACCCTGGACTACTAAAGGCTTGAGGACATCGGCAAAGAACATGCGCTCATTGTCACACCTAAAAAAATTTTCAGACAGTCTCTTCTTTCAAAATTACGTTAAACTCTATAGAAAAATTTATCATAAAACTATAAAAGCCGCCAAAGACACCTATTATAACAACCGGTTCGCTAGAACTGAAAATATTGCCAAAGAAACGTGGTCTATTGTCAACGACTTGAGAAATAAGGCTATCTCTTCCAGTATAACCTCTACTTCCCCTGAGAACTTGAATAACTACTTTGTAAATGTGGCAAAAAATTTAATGACCACCATAGCTCCTTCTCGCGATCCGCTTTCATATCTTTCCAGTACCAATATGAATTTACACAGTTTCTTCCTAACACCCGTAGAAACACTAGAGCTTTTCAGCACAATTAAAGACATAAAAAACAAAGTGTCATCTGGGACTGATGGACTAACTTTAAAAATGTTCTTCAATTTACCGGAGTGTACATTAAATCTCCTCACTGCTTTAATAAATAAATCTTTTCAACAAGGAGTGTTCCCAGATTGCCTCAAGACGGCTATAATTATTCCTCTGCACAAGGGAGGTGATAAGGACCAAGAGTCGAACTATCGTCCAATTGCACTTCTTCCTACTTTATCCAAAATCATTGAAAGATTGGTTAAGAAAAGGCTTCTATCATTTCTGCATAAATATAATATACTAACTATCCACCAATTTGGATTTTTAACCAACAAATGCACTATTGATGCTATGTTCTCTGTCTTCAATAATGTCTTCTCTAGCTTGAACAATTTGCACTCCACAGCATCAATTTTCTGTGATTTTTCTAAAGCATTCGACTGTGTAAGTCATAATATCCTAATTAACAAATTGCAGCATTATGGAATTCGAGGCTCTCCTCTGGAATGGTTCAAGTCGTATCTTAACAACAGAAAACAGCTTGTGAGGGTTGATACGACGACGTCTTCATGCAAGCCAATAGAATGTGGAGTTCCACAGGGTTCCGTGTTGGGTCCAATATTATTTTTGCTGTTTATCAACGATATTGCTAGTCTAGACATCAGCGGTAAAATCTGTCTTTTTGCTGATGATACTAGTTTCACTTGGAGCAACCCGGATATTGTAGCTCTTCATAGAACCATGTCCATCGACTTGTTGGCTATTAAAACATGGTGCGACTCTAACTTCCTCTGCTTCAACGCTGCGAGAACAAAAGTTCTATCATATAGAAGTACGATGCAACCTATTGTACTTAATAACACTACTACTATTGACGTCGTTGATTCCGTAAAGTTTTTGGGCCTTATTATAGACAAATCCCTAAAATGGAATTCGCACATCGATTCTTTATCAAAAAAATTAAGTTCCGCTTGCTTTGCGATAAGATCAGTTTCCAAGGAACTCAACTTGTCAACTTCTAGAACAGTCTACTTTGCCTTTTTCGAATCTCATCTTCGATACGCCCTTCCATTCTGGGGTTCGTGCTGTGCGACTCAATTTGACCGTATTTTTAAATTACAAAAGAGAGCTATTAGATATTCCCTAAAATTAAAAAATAGAGCTCATTGCCAAGATTTTTTCAAAAAATATAAAATATTAACACTTCCTTCCCTTTTCATACTAGAATCAGTCTGCCTTATCCGCAAACACCTACCCAGTATTTCAGAAAGGCCATTGCATAACTATCCACTTAGAAACGCGGAGCATGATCTTTATCTGCCAACTCCATCCTCCGAGTTAATTAAGAGCTCCATTCTATACAACGCAAAAAAAATGCACAATCATCTGCCAGTAGTCATCAAGTCCATAGCATCTCTTCCTAAATTTCGCATAGCTCTAAAATCCTATTTATCAGAGAGAGCCTTATATAAAGTAAATGACTTTTTTCTGACTTAATTTTGAGCGTTCCACACACTGGATCATAGTTTATAGGTAATTTGTTCATTTTTGTATTTGTTCATGTTATATTTGTTTATGTTTATATCATTTTATTTTGACTTTGTATACATGTAGATGTATATAATATGTATTTTTAACTTTAAGGCTTAGTCTACAAATTATGTTATAATTTTTTTGACAATAAAGCATTATTATATAAGCAGATATTAAAAATTGTTTTAGATTTGTATTTTCCGGCTGATACTATAGAAATCCTGCATGGTAAATATATTTTTTGTGTCAAAGTATTTCGTGTTGAGAAATCCGATGAAAGTGAAGATTGAGAAATAGTGGTCAGCCCTTTTTCTGATCATGATCTTGAACACAGTAGGTATTTTGATAGGATCAACCGTCCGCTTAAGCGAGATGATGTGATTAACATTTTTAATTTGGACCCTTTGATGCAGGCATTTTTTTTATTGTCCTATGTTTTTCCAAATCTTAATCAAACGTCACTTATTTTATTTAAAAATATTCGAGGAGATTTTAAGTTGCTGATGTGGTGGTATTCCGTGGAAATGATTCACGTGATGATATCTAAAGTTTGACACGAGATATTTCTGCCCTTTTATGTAGAATCTTGTCATGAACTATCATTTGACATCAATTTTGAATTTAACCTGAGATTTTTAATTGGAATTTTTAATCATGGATTAAATTTGAAGTGGGTATCAAATGATAGTTTATAGAAATCTAAGATAGGAATGTAAAATCGGGTTTTCTCTAAAATTAACCGTTCAGGTTTTACAGCCTGTCAAAGTTGCAAAAAGTCAATTTTCAACTGTCAATATTTCCAAAACAGTTGAACTTAGGTACAGGGTATATCACATGAAATCTGCTCAGAATTTTACGTAGAATCCAAATATGTAATCACATACAGGGTGTTCTATTTAGAATAGCGATGTTGCCACGGTTTAGAGTAGAAGCGGAAACACCGCATAAACAAAAATATTTTTAAAGTGTAGATTATGATCGTTTATCCCGGTTGCCAAATTTTCAAAATGATCCGCTTTTTAGTTCTCCATAAACGTGTAATACGCCATCCACCATGGGTCACCCTGTATATATATATATATATATATATATATATATATATATATATATATATATATATATATATAAAATTTTACTTCCTTCTGGGTACTCCACAAACTGTCGCTTTTTTTCTATTTTTCCAAATTATTATTTAATATAGCTTTCCAAAGGTTCAGATAATGACGACTTCTACCACCATTCTGAAACCAGAGATGCCGAGAGAATTGCCACGTCACCATAAACACTTCAGCACATTTAGTTTCCACAGTTTACATTTATAAATTCATTGGTTCCCATTCGAAGAACTTTCCAAAAGAATTTAAAAAAAAGACGCAGGAGAACTTTCGTCGTGAAATATTTACCTGGAAATATTGAGAACTCTTATATTCTGGGTTAGTAATCTCCAAGATGGCGCTGTTCTCTTCGTCACTCAATTTAAAATCTGGCAGTTTTGAACTAATTGCTAGAAATGCTCTGAATAAAAACAAATGAATTATAATCGCAAACCTAGACTGAAACTAGTACATACCTAAAAAATAAACTCAACACCAGACTTTCTCTATATTTTACCATTCCTCCAGGCGCATCAGCTTGCAGTGAAAATTCATCCATAAGACAGTTCGAAGCTAAGTCCAAGGTTTCCCTATTCCATTTCCGGGTTTTCATTCTGGATTCCGTATTTGGGGCTGAAATCGTTTTAAAAGACATACCCCCTATACCTAAGTGAATATCTGATATGATTAGGCATGAATCATCCTCAAAATTAACATTAACTGCCAGATTGACAATAGCTATATCGTCTTCTTTTCTTTTCGCTTGCTTATAAGCTTTGATATATTGCTTCGAGCTGGAAAATGGTATATGAATTGCCAAAAGTATGTCTGTGGGATCCAAACAGCTTTTCCTATAACCTAACAAACAGACCGTCATAAAATATGGGAAAAGCCATGGAGAATTTTCTAATGATTTCGACACAGATTTTGTGCATACATGATAGACACAAACTCACCTATAAAAAAATTGTCATCAAGACTAATCATCTCAGTTTTTCTTCCTTTTAGGACCTCTAATTTAACCTGCGCAGCTAGAAGTATAGGTATGATATCACTTATTGGAGATCCCGTCATGATATTGCCTCCTAGGGATCCAACTGATCGAATTTGTTTTCCTAAAATAGGTGAAATGAAGATACTTACATTATATTCTACTCGCACATAATAGCTATAATTTACTCACATTATCATGATTATTTCGTGAAACATGCGTTTAAATAATCGTTTCTTACCTGCGAACCACTGAAACATCTGTACCAATTCCTGATAAATTTTCGTCTTATATTCGGGATGCTTTTGTATTTGCTCTTTTAAAAAACAGTCAATATCATAAATTGATGCTGAAGCCCCAATTTTCACACCAGTTTCGATTACTGTTAGTTGATTCAGCTCTTCTATGTGACTTGGGTGAATCAAAACTGGGTAAAACATATCTTTGAATTTCATTTCGACTCCGACTTCACTGTTTCCAACTACAATTTTTGCATCTGGATGATCACTTTTCAATTTTAGCAGGCTATGTAAGGTTGGTGGTCTATACCACGTTATTGCTAGACCTAGAAATGGTATTTTTACATATTTGTTTCTTCTTTCAATCTAGGAGATTACCTTCTATTTTCAAAAATTGTTTATCATACTTATCACTTAGCTTAAGTTCAGGAGGAAAAATAGGTTCTTGAGTTGAATGGTAAGGAGTAAATTCTTTGACGTTAAATGGCATCGCTTTAACATCCATATGACTATCTTTCTGGTTCAACTTATTACATATTTTTTCATCTAAAATCCATAAAAAATTGGCGATATTATAATAGTAGTTCTTGCATGATCGAATCTAATTGAATAATATAAAGTTTATCTATGATTTTCGCTTTATTCAGCAAGTGAAAAATCGGTGTTGTAAGGTAATATCTTTTGAAAAACTGATACAGTTGAATAATTTTATTTCACATCTAAAATAAATGCTTACCGTTCTTAATTTGAGAAGCAAAAGAGTTTGTATCAAGCTTACAACATTTTCCTCCCATTACACAACCGCCATTATTGCCATTACTTATCGTACTAGAGCCATTTTGCCACGTTTCCCATTCTTCAGTAAACGTTTTATAGCCTTCTATGATCGATCGATAACCAGTACATCTGCACAGATTTCCTTGAAATGCTTCTTCGATGTCTTTCATCTTCGGCTTCGAATTCTGTCTGAGCAAGGTATACATTGACATAACAATGCCTACAAATTTGAAGAAAAAATGTAGGAAAATAAACCATCTAAAGTCAAGTCTCCAATCCCCAATCATCGTTTTAAAGTATTATGAGTACCTGTCTAATTTCAAAATTTAGTCATTAAATTATATCTATCAAAATCATTACAAAAATTAATTAGAATGGCGATGTCACGTCCAGGCAATGAATTTTTTTGGAAGGGAATTCACGAGCTCTTTTTTGGACAAAAATGTCTTTATTGTCGTTAGATTTTAATTTTCGCCGATGTTTCGGTAATGGTTTTTTTGTCTTCGGTTTCGTGTGTGTAACAGAAGAATATCTCTTGTATATCGTAACAGTGTTTTTCAGTTGAAAAAATGTTAACAATCAACCCACCATCAACTTTGACTATGTCGTTATGTAATTGAGCCCTGAAGAAGGTAAAAAACCATTACCGAAACGTCGGCGAAAATTAAAATCTAACGACAATAAAGAAATTTTTGTCCAAAAAAGAGCTCGTGAATTCCCTTCCAAAAAAATTAATTAATTATTAACATCCAGGTACTCCTAGGTCATCGACATCAACGCACCGCCAGTGGGTCACCAGAAAACACAGGCAATACTCTACGATCTATACCAGACGCAGCGTCATCAAAAGTTTTATTACCAAATCTTTCGATGTGGAGCACACAACAAATTATGTCAGCGATTTATTCTTTTTAATTAATTAGGTACCATTGTTCATGAAGTTTGTCAAAGTTGCATTTTTTGTATGTAAATAGTTGTTAATGGATTTTTCTCATTTTACCTGTGCTGCGCGGTTCAAATCTGTTGTGTGAGAACTTGTCAGAGTAAGGCGAAAAAGAAGGCAAACCTTTCTTTTCAGAAGTTCTCAAGCAATCAAATTTCAAGAAAACAATCGTTACATGCTCTCAACCTGACTGAAGACGATTTAAGTTGGAACAGAGATTTGAGGGTTCGTAAACTAACGATTTCTATATAAAATACAATAATAACTTTACAATTAAAGGTGTGCTAGTACTTGCAAATTCGTACTTCTCAAACTTTTCTAAACTTTTCCCCCGCATATTTGTCATATTTATGTTTAAAAATAAACAAAAACAGAAACATAACCGAAATTGCACAATTTGACAAGTGGAACAAATCAAAGTCATTCCACACAGGTATCGCGCGTCATTATATGTGTCTCTTTCTTTATTACAGTAATTTTAATAAACTATCCTTGTTGTTCATTGCATGAGAAAGGTCCATTGTTTAATAAAAAATCAGTATTAATCCAACAGTGGTTCTTATTTCCCAGTTACCAAACTTCCCGGCTACACTAACCCAACCTACAAGCCTCAAACCACGAACTACCAAGTGTTCTGAGCATCCTCCTGAATTCCAATACAGGAATTTACAGTACCTAAGGAATATCTTGTAATTCAAGGCTACCCAATTCAACTATAGGGTATTTGGCTCGGCTCTATTTTTTGATTTTCATCCCCACTAACCTTCGCCAGTTTCGACAAAAATCATTAGTTGTTTCGATTACAGAATGCTAATATCTTCCGTATGTTTTAAAAATAATTTTAATTTTAATTTTGAGTTACAGAGCATAACTTTATAATCCTACAGCCTAAATGGATCAGCTTTTTCGATATTTGCTATTTTATACCTGGTAGTGATGCCGCGAGACGAGACTAGACGAGACTTAGGGTTGGTCTCGTCTCGTCTCGACATCTCGAGACGAGACCGTGACTTAGTCTCGGTCTCGAGTACCAAAGTCTCGTCTCGTCTGGTCTCGAGTTATACAGGGTGTCCAAAAAATAGCGAAAAAAACTCTTCTCTACGTGGTGGAGGACCCTACAAGAAACTCCAGAAAAATACTTTGAAAACTCTAGTGGCATTCTTAAGAAAGGTATTTGCATTTTAATATTTATCAAAATTGGCAACACTGAAAATATCCCGTTGACAATATGTCAGAGAATTAGAATAAATACCCATGTTTTTATCTGAAGAATTCGAAGGTGAATTTTCACATCTACCTCTTCATATTACCAAGAAAAATGCTGGAGAAGGATTTTTTTAATATATTTATTTTTCTAGAGTTTCTCAAAGGGTCCCCTACTACGAGGAGAGCTTTTACGCTATTTTTCGGACACCCTGTATTTATGGTTTTTATTTTTATATTATAACGAAAGTTCAAACTGCCACAGTGAAAAAGCAATTAGTAAAAAATCACAGTAAAGAGTAATAGTGATATTCAATTTACTGATTTCATATTCAAATAGCCCAGAATAGTCCAATAATAAAGCTATGAAAGAAAAATTTTAAGTGTAATCTCGAGACTCGAGACTACACGAGACTCTCGCCGAATCTGGTCTCATCTCGTCGAGACTTCACGAGACGAGACCAAAAGCCAGTCTCGTCTTGAAAAGTCGAGACGAGACGAGACGAGACCAGTCTCGAGTCTCGCGACATCACTAATACCTGGCGTACAAAAACCGCATTGGGATCCATGCGCCTTAGCTATCCTTTCCTGCACCGGATGAAGCTGGTTTCTAGTGGATCCAATACCTTCTGTTGTTGTGATAGCCAGACCGTGCATAGAACACAATGGAGCTAAGCATGCATTTACAGGCAAATGTCTGGAAGGTGAAAAGTTAAAGAAAACAGACAGTCTAGTTATTAATCTTTCATTTTAAAAACAATGATTCCGAAATACGAAATCTAATCCAACCTGGATTCTATTTGTGAGACGCATCATCTACAGAAAAATACGATGTTAACTGTTCTACGTGAAGAAAATACATAATAAAAAAGGATACATTTCTCTATTATTTCTTCTATCGTATTTGGATACCATGACAGTACAAGCTCCACACCCTCCTTCGCCACACCCTAACTTGGTGCCACATAATTTCACTGAAATTTTGTTAAGAATATTATCCAAACACAATACCATAGATAACACAATAAATAAAAAGTTGAATATAACGTCATATCTTTTGTCTCATTTGACGTCATTAGCGTTTGCCAAAATAATCATAATATTATTATTTTGAAATGAACAAAATATTTCACAACAGATATCTTATCCAAAACTGAACAGATTATGCAAATGTTTACTTTCGATTTGCAAACTATACTTGCAATTTCTATTTGAAAACAAACTGCTTCGTAATGTTATACTTTAATGAATGTTTAAATATTTTTCTACAAATAAAATAGGATGTTTACACACCCGATACATTTTTTTTTTTCAATTAATTTGAATAAAGGATACATTTATTTCTTAAATAGAACAACAACGTCCATTCCGGATTAACTTGATCATCTTCTATCTGAAATCAAAAAAATATTTCTTAATTGTTTTGTTACACTCGTTGGGAATCGATTTACCGCTGCCACCAATATTGGGGATCGCGAGTTGACCAATGCCACGAATGTTGAGTACCTCGATAATTAAAACTCGGTATTGAATAAAAATGTTTCGTTTATTAAAATTCTCGTTGAGGGGGGACAAAAATTGAGAGGCAACCCGACTGTCCAGAATGAAGTTTGAAATCTGAATGTCCCTTCTCTTCAACTATCTTCCATCCAGGAAGACCAGTTTGGACCTTTCGAAAGAAGGGTATTTTACAATTTCCTAAAACTACCTAATCCTTTTTACAAAGTTTATGAATGTGCTAAAATCTATTTATTAGGTACTATATTAGTTAGCAGTGGCGAAGCTAGGCGTCGGCGACTGCCGACGGCCTCGCGCCCTAAGGAGTCTCGCAAAAAAGAGGTTACCAAACCCAAAAATTGACACTTTTCGGTTTCCAAAAATAAAACGTAGAGAACAAATAGACTTAATCCTATACGAAATATATCATAATTCATAGAATTCATCATCATAGAATTCACTTAGGGTCGGTTTCTCAATAGCGAGTCACCCCCGGGTTAAGCAGCAAGGCAAGGGTAAACATAGCAACTGGAAACGCTTACCCTGGACACAGATCACCTGAATACAGATGCGTGAGTAAGTATCCTTGCCGTCTTCGATTCCAAGCTAAGAAACCACGGCTCCGCAAGGAGGCCAGCCGCCTGATGCATAGGCACAGATCGTCCACGTCAGGATATTTATAGTGCGTGAGCATGTTCCAGCCTGTTGTGTTTACATATAACCTTGAACCATGAATTTACTGCTCTTTCGCATCTGTATGTAGGTGATCTGTGCCCTGGAGTTAAAAGCAACCCGAAGGTGACTCGCTATTGAGCCCTTAAGCCTATTAATTCTACTGAAAATTAACCTAGAACTCTCATATCATATGGTTTTTATTTTATCGTTAGATTGTCGGTATTTCGATAAATCGGTAATTGTGGCGTACAGTATTTCGCTGTATTGTATAGTCGTGAGCATTAAAAATGGGACACCCAATTTTTCCTATTGTAAAACGGGCTCATTAGCTACACCGTCGGCAATGACAGTGATTGTCATATTTGACCAAAAATCCGTTGTAGAAAAAGACTGCATATACAAAAACAATCAGCAGGCTAACTTGAGTAACAGCCCGTGTAATAAAGGAATTCATCGTCGAAATGTCACTAGCAGCCATTTTGGGATACGAAACAGGGCCAGATTAACGATAATTTAGGTTTTTTTCTCTCCTGTCACAGAGTCGTATTAGCTTTAGATAAACTAATTTATTATTACTTACATAGTTACATATAACGATATTTATAATTACTAATTTATTATTTTTATTATCAAATATACAACAATGATAAAAGATAACACTATAAATGACAACACGAATATACTAAAATTACTTCGGAAATCATAACTGAAATTCGGCTCTACACCGCACGCCTATGACCTCCGTCAGAAATAATCAAATGAAATAAAATTCCGGCGCTCCTGCCATTAAATGACAGGATGGCCCCTAATGGCGGCGTGCGCAGAAAAGATGCGCGTGAGAGTTAGCCTGCTGATTGTTTTTGTATATGCTGTGCCTATATCTCACCTGTTTAAAGAGATACCCAGAAATGTTAAATGTGAAAGTTGTAGGTAATATCAGAAAGTCCTCAATGATGTTAGTTACAAGTATACAGGGTGTGTCAAAAAAGTGTGGCAAAAAGTAACATCATTGAAAACTTTCTGATATTACTTACAACTTTTACATTTGACATTTCTGGGTATCTCTTCAACCAGGTGAGATAGGTGTGGGTGCAAAATAAACAGGGTGATTCAAAAGTAAGCGGCATCCTTTCGGGGGCGTATTCCTCGCATAAAAATAAGACGAAAAGTTTCTATTAACATGGGTCCGGAAATGCTTCCTAAGGGAGCTACGTCCCTTCGAATAGGACACCTGAAAGACGTGTTTTTCTGTAGAGTAAAAATCAAACAAGAAGAAGCCACTGTCGTTAGCGCTGACAAAGAAAGCAGATTTCCTTTTCTCTGGGTCCCTCCCATTCTCGTTTGATTTCTACTCTATAACTTTGAAACCCTTCACAAATGGATTTTGAAAATTGGTGTATTTTATGAACTTTTGGAGGCAATTTAGATACTAAATTGAAAATTCAAAAATCTCAAACAGTGTCACATGGGGAGGGTGAAAACATCCCTATTTTTTTTACTCGTCAGGTTTTTGCCAAACATACGCAAATCAGAAAATTTTTCTCGTTAACGGTACGCTGTATCGAATTGAACCAAGAGTAGCTTTTCTGTGTAAAAAATTGTAAACTTTCTGAATTTTCAATCAGAATCGCAAAAACCTTACGAGTAAAAAAATAGGGATGTTTTAACCCTCACTCTCCCCAGTATGTGACGCCACTGATTAAGGTTTTTGAATTTTCAATTTAGTATCTTGATTGCCATCAAATGTTTATAAAATACACCAATTTTCAAAATACATTTGTGACGGGTTTCAATGTTATAGAGAAAAATACGTCTTCCAGGTGTCCTATTCGAAGGGGCGTAGCTCCCTTATAGACCCTGAGATAGGGCCTGTTTAGTGGAGTCATTTTTTTTTTGTCTGGCATTTTGAGGGATGAATGTGACTAGTTACCTGATGAGAATATAAGTGGTTTTAATGCCTGCCTCCTGTTCGAAATGTCCACAGAATGTTTCGCTGGAAAACTCGATTTCGAACTGTGATTACCGTCTGGCGATTTTTCAGCGTTATTTTCACAACAAAACCTTTCATTCTCTCGATTGCCAGACAAAAAGTAAACGCGGAAGGTTCCTCTCTTTTCTCTTGGAAGTTGACACCCATCCCCATTTTTTCAGCTATTGAAAAGCATCTGATATTTTTCATGAGGTGAATTATTTATCAATGTCAATCTTTTATTTAAAAGCCAGAAAATTTGAGACCATTAAAAAAAAATTCTTCATGTAAATCAATTTTATTCTTCTGCAAATTTTCGAACGGGAGGCCGGCATTAAAATCACCCATATTCTCATCAGCTTAGGAGCCACATTCAGCCCTCAAAATGCGAGACAAAAAAAAATGACTCCACGAAACAGCCCCTATCTCACAGTCTATTAGGAAGCATTTCCGGACCCGTGTTAATAGGAACTTTTTGTCTTATTTTTATGCAAAGAATACGCCCCCGAAAGGATGCCACTTACTTTTGAATCACCCTGTAGATAATCACCTGCGACTGTGCATTCTACAGCATTTTGAAAGTCCGTCCAGCATTTGATTTTGTGAGAAATTAATTTTTGGTTAGAGGGATTTGTTAGCGGAAAAATATTAATACTTTTGACTAAATATTGTTATCGAATACCGTTGATGATAATAATAGGCCCGAAAAAGGGGGCGTGACACTCAAAAAATTCTCGATTTCGGTGGTTATCTTTCATCCGTCCCTGTCTTTTCACCCTCCCCCCATCCTTCATAAAAGGGCGTCGCAATTCGGATGTCGCCGACCGACGTCCACGTTTGGATTGGCTACGCCACTGTTACTTAGAAAGTTTGTACAAGTGTGGACGATGAAGAACCTAAGGTATTAAGGGTCGAACAATAAAAGAAGGTCGGTATGATAATATTGAACCGACAAAGACATCGTCGGGCCTCTCTGTGAAATAGATTGGTTACAATAAAACAAATTAGAAATATAAGAATAATTATTAAATGTTAATACAATTATTGCTGTGCTATATTATTGGGGTTACAACACACTCTTAGGAGAAATTTATGTTAGCAAAACATATTTATGTACTTTAGGGACTGAAAGTATTCTTTTAGTCCCTATTTTCAGGGACTAAAGTGGCACTTTTTTTCCCTAGGGATTAAAAACGATTTTAATCCCCAAGGGATTGAAAATGATTTTAATCCCTAAAATAAATAGGTAGGTAAGCAATATTGCATTAGTACATATAAGAATTAAAAACTCAGGTAACTATAATAGTATATTGTTCATCTTAGCAACTTGTCACAACACACCGAGATTTCGATTTTTGAGTAACATGTTGAATGTCAAATAAGGTGCATTCATTTTTTCACATGACATGTCTACAATGTCTACAACGTCCATATCCAGGCTATTGAGAGAGTCCAACATAAATTCTTGAGATTTATTTCATTTAAGGAACGCCATGAAGTTGAAGATATTAATTACTCAAGGGTTGAAAGTTCCCTTAATATCACTACTCTTCAAATCAGACGCATGCACAAGGATCTTACCATATTCTATAATCTACTGCACTCATACAGCTTTGGCCCAGAGCTACTGGCAAAAGTCAATATCCATGTCCCTTCTAGACAAACAAGACTAAATCAGCCTTTCCAAATTGGACACCATCGTACTAACTACGGATATATTTATTTTCTGTCAAGATCGGCTATAGATTTGCTAATCAGAATTCTAAGAGGTTGGACTGTTTTGATAATCAAAAAGTTTTTAAATCCCAGCTTAAGTCCTGTACTCTGTGATATTTTAATGTCCCAAAGAATAGTTATAATTTAAGGAAAAAAAAAAGTTTTAAGTTTTTTTTAAGTATTTTGTAGTTTTTACCCGAGTTTTTACCTTATGTTTTATGTTAATTTAATGATATATATTTTTTAATATGTTACTGTTTATTGTTTTCTTATGTTTTGATATTCTAGGTGATAGGTTAGGTTAAGATTCTCACTTGTTAATTATACTTGTCTTTTAATTGGGCAATAATTGCTCGTTGATAAATACATAAATAAATCATCATAACCACGTTTTGTAAGAGTACGGTCTAGTCAAGTCAAGTGGCATTTAATTATTTTTTTTTTACAGTTTTTCTATCCTCTAAAGTACATAAAATAGTATATATACCTCGGGACTAAAGTGTCTTTTTATCCCTCGACGACAAACTTTTCGCCTCGGGATAAAAAGAGTCACTTTAGTCCCTAGGTATACATAATAATATACTATTATTTTAATTAAAACACGAAATTGCATATATGTTTCTATGGCAGAGCTGACTTGAAGACTCCATTCTGTACTGCTGCAAGCCTGTATTTATATATTAATAAATGCTGAATAACCGAAAGCTTGCTTAAACTCCTTATTTTAATAATACGTCGTCGGGAGTGGCCATATAATTAAATCATCACTCAATTTGTCTTATCACTTTTTTATAGCAAACAACATAAACTAGGAATACTTAGGTATAAAATAGATTCTAATTTTAAACAAGTTGATAAACAACAACAAATTTGCTAATTCTCCTCTATTGTATAATATTAAGACTTTAATTGTCAGTGTTTTTATTTTTCACTTCATCCATATTAATAATAAGAATTAATTAAAGCTTATAGATAACATTCAATGAGACACCTACGTTAGGTACCTAATTGAATTCCAGTCATGGTGATACCTAACTATTTCATTTTATTGCTTAGCTATTCAATAATTGCCTAAATTGTTTAAACACCAATTAATAAATTTCTATGCCAAGTAAGTCGAAGTCTCAGTCAGCTTCAGTTGGCGCACCGATAGAATTGTGCATAAAGAGTCACTGACCCAGAAGCCTCTGAACACATGTGTACAGGATTATATCCAAAAATTACATCATAATACTGAAAATATAATATGGACGTGGTTGATAATAATTTTTCAAAAAAGATTATCAGGTACTTAAATCATCATCACCATTTCGAAATGCATTACATATAATGATAGTCCAGGAGGTGGCGCCAAAAACATGCAAGAGTTTTCGCAAGGCGGATATTTTCAAAATAGGTCGTACTTTAGTGCTAGAATGCTAGTGTACAGTCAGCACTCACAGTTCCGGGACAGCTGGCTCTGGGACGCGGGCAAAGTTGTAATTTCCAGAAGCATCTAAACTGTTTTCTCAAAGCTCAAAATTTATAGAAATTTTGCACATTATCTGTTTGAAGGTCACAGATATCGTATGTAAATCGTCAGACGTCTAGTTCGTTGCAAAAAGGGGGTCAGACGTCCTCAAAGTTTTTATTTTATGGCATTTTCTTCGGTGTCCTGTCAAAATATATTTTTGCAGGTATTTGACAAATATATTTGAAGAAAATGCCATAAAATAAAAACGGCATTCAAGTATGCATAGTAAATCATAATAATTCACCTACTTTTTTTCCATTCACAAAGAAAACTAAAGTTTTGGAAAAAACTTCATCCTCTGCACTCGCCATATCTTCAATCGAACTTAATCGTACAGCTTTCGAAACACAATTGAAATAAATTTTATAGAATGTATTTATAAGTATTGTAGCAATATTGCAACAAACGACCTCTGACATTATTGTTGTTTTTATTTAAAAAGTGTGTGATATGTTATTTAGAAATTTCAATCCATACTTACCTTTCGAATAACATTAGGTACTATCAAAATGTCTTTTTCAAGATTGGTGAGATATTTAAAGTTGAATATATACCTAATTCCTAATCCTAGTATTCTTTCCTTCTGAAGTCACCTGAACTGATTGAACCATGTTCTTTCCGTTTCGGATTACTTACCCCACTATATGTTTACCCACCAAATGATTGCAATCAGTTTAATCATACGTTTAATCCTAGCTCCAAGTGATCGCAGAATTTTTATGTTCACTTCTTTCAAATCATTTGTGAGTTAAAATCAGCTGATTATTTTCTTTTTTTTTTCTTTCGATGCGACAAAACTTAGCGAAATGATGTGAAAATAAAAATCACTTTCTGTTAAATCAGATCAGTTTGTTCAGTTCGATTGATCGAAAGAATACCCCTAATATAATGGAGTTAACTCACAACTTGGAACAAATTCCAGTAGAAAAAATGCTTTTTTCTACAACTGTCAAAAAATGATGATGTTCGCACACTCATGACAGTTTGCGAAGTGACACTTTTTTTCCCAGGTATTGATTTTTTAACATTCCCATGACGCCGTGCGCGAACTATAGATATTTCGCACACTGGTGTCAGCAGATACTTTCTATGCTCTAGATAATAGAAAGTACCTGCTAGGTAACAACCAGACACTAACCAATTGGTCCATAATTTGACCCTTATGAAAATAATTTATAGCTGAAGGCAAAGGCTGAAGGTATCCCTTGTTTCTGGTTAGCTGGCCATGCATATTGTCGCGGTGCGGTTTCGCCATGGTGTACAGAATCTAACTTGAAATTTAGAAAATACTGCCTCATTCGGGCAAAGAGATAATCGCGTCTATAGGATTTTACAAGAATGGATTATAGATATATGAAGGACCGTATTAGTTGGTAGTTTTTAGTTCAAGATTGACTGTGATATGAATTAGATAGTGATTATTGTTCAGAGTTGTAGAGAGTTTAATTGCTTAAGAGTTAATTAGTGAAGTATTTAGTGTCAGAGTGTATAGTAACGTGGAATAAATTATTGTTGTGTTAATTGGACTTTGAATTTGGAATAAACGGACCCAAGATTTGTGTCATGCAAGCTAGAGCCGTGACATTGGTGTCAGAAGTCAGATATAATTTGAGGACTGCAAAGTGAAATCCGATTGCAGAATAGTGCGGACTACTAGTAGACAACTACGTGAACACTGGAATAGTGAGTCAGTTCAAGCAATGACAATCACAAAAAGAAACCTAACCGATTGTGTGAATTACCCCGCAAGTGACTGTATACCCGATTTTGACTGTGATAGTGAATTTTGAAGTAAGTTCTAGAAAATTCTATTCGGAAACCAAGAGAAATATCGAATTTGTGACTTCACTGACGTGTTTACTATATCAATCGACATTCAGAAAAGACATTTCAAGAAAATTCTAAAACATTCTATTCGCGAATAAAGTAAGATATTCAATTTGTGACCTCACCGACGTATTTGGAACTTCAACCATTACCAGACAAAAAGCAAAAATGGAAGAACAAAAAATTGAAAATTGAACTTCAAGACGAAACGACAACAAGAAAAACAAGACAAAGATGCCAGGCGACAAAAAGAAAAACAAGAAGAAGAAGTTAAACGACAAGAAGAAAAACAAGACGAAGAGGCCAGGCGACAGAAAAACAACAAGCAGAGGCTAACCGACAAAAAGAACAGCAAAACGACCTTGGACAACTGCAGAAAATATTTCAAACCATACAAGGATCTGTCACTTACCTGGAACAAAAGATTAGGGAAGTGAAAGCCGAAGTTGAAGAAGATGTTCAAGAAGTTAAAGACGAGATTCAGCAGTTAAGACAAGAAGTTGAGGACCAAGCTCAAGCACTTGAAGATAAGATAACAGAGTTCATCAATTATTCAGGTAGTCTTGGAGCATTCTCTAGTATGAAGATAAATCCGCCAACTTTTGACGGTTCTATCTCCTGGATCATGTATATTCGACAAGTTGAAGCTGCTGCAAATACCAACGGATGAAATGATCAAGAAAAAGCTACAGCAGCACTGATAGTGGCGCTACGAGGACCTGCTTTAGATCTTCAAAAACCCGGCAAGAGCTTACAAGAATTCAAATCGGAAGTTAAAAGGTTAGTGAGTTTGACGTTTCCTGCATAGATGGCAGTATCTGCGTTTATTGATGGTCTCAGAGATTCCAAGATCCAGGAAACCTGAGAATGTCCAAATTCAGGAAAAGTTGCGAAGCCCTTGTTCGAGCATTGGAACTGAAAGCAATAGTTGGTGTCTCACGACCCAGAATACGAGCAGTGTCCATTGAAGAGAGGAAATTAAGAAACTACTACTAGAAGGTAGAAAAAAGGGAAACGATTCCAGACAAACACCAACTCCGAGAATCCGAGTAGAATGTTACCGGTGCCATAAGCTTGGATAAGATTGTAGAGTAAGGATATCCTCTCCATCTAGAGATAATTTCCAACGCTTTTCGAGATCTAGAGACGCAAGCCCTAATAACAGACAGGGAAACGACAACTAACCAGTATAGAGGGGCAAATGCTGGTTAGTATGACGAAGCCCCCAGGGTTGTTTACATAAAATTATTGGGCAGTCATTATAGAGGATTAAAATTCGAAGGACGAATTAATGAAGAATTTAAAACCATCACTTTTGATACGGGTGCTGAAGTTTCTATAATTAGAACAACATCAGTCAAGTCTCGGGCAATCCAACCGCTCACTAAAGAAATGTTAATACGAACAGTCATGGGCGAATCGGCACCAGTTTAAGGAGAAGCTATGATTGAGCCTACTTTTGGATCTATCACCTTTAGGCACAGAACATTAGTCGCCGCTATAGAAGATGATTTTATTTTGGGTTAGTTTGGGTTAGGAAGGAAGCCATAGATTTCATCTTGAAAGAAGCAGATGTTTTTTTGATGGATAATCAAACCGGACGGACCAGTTTTAGACTGTGAGATAGGGCCTGTTTAGTGGAGTAATTTTTTTTTGTCTGGCATTTTGAGGGCTGAATATGGCTACTAAGCTGATGAGAATATGGGTGGTTTTAATGCCTGCCTCCCGTTCGAAGATTTGCAGAAGAAAAAAATTGATTTACATGAGGATTTTTTTTTTAATGATCTCAAATTTTTTGGCGTCTAAATAAAAGATTGACATTGATAAATAATTCACCCATAAAAAATAACAGATGCTTTTCAATAGCTGAAAAAGTGGGGATGAGTGTCAACTTCCAAGTGAAAAGAAAGTAACCTTCCGCGTTGACTTTTTTTCTGGTAATCGAGAGAATGAAAGGTTTTGCTGTGAAAATATCACTAAAAAATCGCCAGACGGTAATCCCAGTTCGAAGTCGAGTTTTCCGGCGAAACATTCTGTTGACATTTCGAACAGGTGGCAAGCACTAAAACCACCTATATTCTCATCAGCTAACTAGCCACATTCATCCCTCAAAATGCCAGACAAAAAAAAATGACTCCACTAAACAGGCCCTATCTCACGGTCTATTTAATTCAATACAAAATTGATACTGGATTGGCACACCCAATTAAACAACCACCTCGAGGTATGCCAGTAGCTGAACAACAGGAAGTGGAAAACCAAATTAATAAAGTGCTTCAAGAGGGAATTATTGAAGAGACAAATAGTCCATGGTCTGCGCCAGTAGTATTGGTTACGAAGAAAGATAGATTTGTGTGGACTACCGTTAGCTTAATGACGTCACCAAGAAGGACAGCTTTCCTCTACCGAGTATAGACGATACATTAACAACTCTATCGGGCTGCAAATGGTTTTCCACCTTGGATCTCAAAAGTGGATACTGGCAAGTGGCAATACACAAAAATGACAAAGAGAAAACTGCTTTCAGTAACGAAAGCGGATTATACCAGTTTAACGTAGTGCCTTTCGGATTATGTAATGCTCCAGCTACGTTTGAGAGACTGATGCATCTTGTTTTGCGAGGCCTTACATGGAGAACTTGCCTGTCAAAGTCAAAAGTCAAAAAAAAGCTTTATTGTTATAAGAATAGATAATCTCACAGGATAACACAGACAGAATAATATCTTTGACAAAACTGTCGCAAATAATACAAATATATTATAATATATGGATCAACAATACAGCTGCTAATACGCAACTAAACTGCTGGAACTTCGATACGCATAAAGAATTTTTTTGCCTATTTTTGAAGTCAAATATCTCAGGAAGTATACGAGATATTTGATTGCGGTTTGAAGCATATTGGGGCGCATTGTTTGGTGTTCAAGGTATATGGTATCGTGCTGATAAACAGAAACGTTATCTTCGGCATACAGGGTGGACAATAAAACAGTGCAAAGTTTGACAAATTTCAGGGCGTCGCCATTTCTTTTCAAACATACTCCTGCTTTTTTTCTGGGTTTAAGAAGAATCGATAGTTCAATGGTAAAAAACAACTTGAAGGGTTTTTCAAAAAATCTCGTAGTTTTGCAGAAATTTCAGTTTAGCTGAAAAATCACTTCCATCACCCTGATTCTTTGTCTCAGTTATTCGAAACAATGTTATTCATTATTGTTGGTTAGACGTTTTCGTCTTTTTTTGTTTCAAAAAGAATTCATACAGGGTGAAAAAAAAGTAAGTTTTTAATACTAATTATTGGATGGTTCGTGAAGATAATTGCGCCTCTGAATAACTAGAGATAGTACACGTCCAACAAGTAACATGTACCTACTGCGACTTATAGGGGGCACAGTCCTCTTTCTCAATTGATATGGTACCAACCTTTCTCTGCTTTATTAGGCTATTTTTCGCGAGGATAATCAAGTAGGTATAATCGATTATGCTATACTGGATTATGTGATGTGTCAATTTTATGTCCTGCTCCCCTAACTCCCCCGCCATCAAATTCTGGGATACTCAAGGATCATGAACACTTAATTTCTTCTGTGGGAACAGACCGAAAATCACCTTTTCTACATTTAAAATCGACGAAAAAACTAACTCACTAGCACAACCTGAATCGCAAGCATTCCATAGAGGTCTGCGGATGACGTCACTCCTATAAGCTGCTGATAGTAACGTCACTCGCAGGCCCAGAATTGGATGGAGAGGGAGTAAGGGAAGTATGACACAATTGACGCATCAAATAACTCAGCATAATCAGATTATGTTTGATTATCCTCGCGAAAAATTGCCTATTGAATAACCATTTTAGGAGCAAAAAAAAATTATATTATGTTTCCTAGGTGAAAAAGCTATATATTCTGTTCTCGAGACGCCAAGATATTTGGTGAATTATTACAACGAACCATGTCATCAGGGGGACTATTTATACTGGGCTGGTAAAAAGTACCGGAACAGTTGAATCTCTTTCAAACCCGCTTAAAAAAAACCTGCATTCTCAAATTTCTTTATCTGGAGGTTTCCGGACATACAAAATTAAATGATTCAATGATATCGGCGCTGCTGTCAGATCTACCAGCTTTACCCTACATCATTGTCCAATTTCGTTCGCCCAGAAACCTCCAGATGAAGAAATCTGGGAAAGCAGCATAAGTGGGTTTGAAGAGATTCAACCGTTCCGGTACTTTTTACCACCCCTATATAAGTAGCCCCCTTATGACGTGTTACGTGCTAATAATTCACCAAATATCTCGGCGTCTCGAGAACAGAATAGCTCTTCCATCTAGGAAATATAATAAAATCATATTTTGCTCTCAGAATGGTTATAAAATAAAGCAGAGAAAGATTGGTGCCATATCAATTAACAAAGAAAACTGTGCCCCCTATAAATTGCAGTTCATGTTACATGTTACGACGCGTGCTATCTTTAGTCACTCTGAGGCGCAATTATCTTTACGGACCCCCTAATAATTAGTATTAAAAATTTATTTATTTTTTTCACCCTGTATAAAATCTTCTTAAAAAAAACACGTAAACGTTGAACCACCAATAATGAAGAAAATTGTTTTGAGTAACTGAAACAAAGAATCAGGGTGATGAAAGTCGTTTTTCAGTTAAACTGAAATTTCTGCAAAACTACAAGATTTATTCAAAAACCCTTCAAGTTGTTTTTCACCATTGAACTACTGATTCTTCTTAAACCCAGAAAAAAAGCAGGAGTATGTTTGAAAAGAAATGGCGACGCCCTGAAATTTGTCAAACTTTGCACTGTTTTATTGTCCACCCTGTATGTTGAAGGTAACGTTTCTGTTTATCAGTACGATACCATATACCTTGAACACAAAACAATGCGCCCCAAGATGCTTCAAACCGCAATCAAATATCTCTTATACTTTCTGAGATATTTGACTTCAAAAATAGGCAAAAAATTTCTTTATGCGTATCGAAGTTCCAGCAGTTTATATGAATTAAAATCCTGAAGACCATATACCTACTTATGCAATTCAAAATAATAATATGTAAAAACAAACAATATAAATGCTAATAATAAAATATCAAATCATGTACATACCTAGTTAAAAAAAAAAGTAATAAAATATATGAACAAAGAATATAACGCAAGAACAAACAACAGAAAAAAAGTGCATCTTACGATAAAGCTGAGGGTGAAATAAATTAAATCCAAGTAACTGTCAAAATTCTTGAAATGTTTTAATTAAAACTTTTCAAATGAATTTCAACCTATCCGCCGGATTTCTATCTTAAAATTTCACTCTTCCAGCGCTCTCTTTCCTCCAGAAGCTAATGAAGGAGTCAAACAATAAATGACTAAAAACAGTGGTCGCAAAAAACCAGCGAGATTGGGACAAACATTTGCCTCTATTTTTAATGGCTTACAGAGTAGCTGTTCATGAGTCAACAGGCGGAAGTCCAGCTAGAATCGTTTTTGGAAGGGAACCCAGGTTACCTTACGATCTGATGTATAGAATACCTAAAGAAGAACGAAAAGAAATTCTAGATTATGCCGACGAAGTAAGGGCACGACTTCTGAGGATACATGATTTTGCTCGGGAGCATATCCAGCTGGTCAGTGACCGAATGAAGACCTGTAAATTCACATTGAAAGTGTCGAGCGACTAAAAAGCGGTGAGCGTTTTCGAGAACGAGAATACCGGCTCAGATACTACTTGAAAACCAATTCAGCCGGATTTCAAGAAGGTGATCTAGTGTGGCTGTATAATCCAACAAGAAAGAAAGGAGTGTCGCCGAAATTTTTTTCAGCATGGAAAGGACCCTTCAGGATAATCAAAAGGATCAATGATTTGGTTTATCGAGTTCAGCGCAACACCAGGAGTAAGATGAAAGTTTTACATCTAAACAGATTGACCAAATCTGGGTGTGAAGTTGATCGGGATGACCGACCTTAAGAGAGGGCATTGTCGCGGTGCGCTTCCGCCATGGTGTACAGAGTCTAACTTGAAATCTAGAAAATATTGTCTTATTCGGACAAAGAGATAATCGCGTTTATTCTGGATTTTACAAGAATGGATTACAGATATATAAAGAACGGTATAAGCTAGTAGTTTTTAGTTTAAGATTGACTGTTATACGATTTAGATAGTGGATTATTGTGAAGTTGTAAAGAGTTGTTTGAGTTAATAAGTGAAGTAATTAGTGTCAGAGTGTGTAGGAACGTGGAATAAATTATTGTTGTGTTAATTGGACTTTGATTTTGGAATAAACTAACCCAAGATTTCTGTCATGCACCCCAGGGCCGTGACAATATATAATTTTATTGATTTTTGTATCAATTCACACACTGCTCTCAACTCTCAACTATTTGATGGGTCGGGTACGTATCTCTACATGATTCCATTATTGAATATCACTAGTTACTCAATTTAATACACAATTATATTTTCGGATTATTTATTAGCATACAACTATAATTATTTCGATACATTTATTAGAACCTTTACTCTGTATCAATAAATTAATTCAGAATTGCGCTCCAAAATATTATCAATTATTTTATTAATGGAGCTAACCATACTGCCAACTGGAATGTTAATTACCATATTAATTACATTCAAGATAATTCCATGGAACAGAGTAGTTAGTGTGTCAGTTAATAGATCAATGACCCAGTCCACAATCCCTTGTCCAGTAAATTTAATCGAGATCGAACTAAAAAAAAATTACAATAATTTTATACCAAGTAATATCAATGCTTCATATAACATGGCTCATCTATTTCTGCAACTGTGACAGAATTTACATTATTTATGAAATTATGTAAAGTGCGACAACTGAATGAACCTGTGTGGAAGGAATGCGGGCAAAACCCTCCTGATTGGTGGCAGATCAAATCTATACGCGGGTCGTCGCATCAGGGATCCGCTATTGCAATGCACCACGTCGAGGACCCATCGCGTCGTATAGTATAGGTTTTCGTTTTCCCCTCTGCTACTTCATACGTTGCCAAGGTTCATTCAGTTGTAGCACTTTATTTTTTATTCGAAATAGATTGTATTTCATGTCTAATCAGCCACATGAATATTCGGAATGTGTGCGAGTTATTTTGTAAGGGACAAATGATAGAAAAACTTAGAATAGACAAAAACCTATATCACCGTCCATCGATATTCTCACTAATCCAATCACTCTCCCAATGCCATATGGTTATCCCTCTTTTTACCGTCTGAAATTCATGCCCGAGCCGTACTTGTTCTTGGGTGTCGGGTGACCCAGCTAGCAGACAGCTACGGAAACTTACTGTCCGGTGGAATTTTTCGTGACGTATTCTGCAGTCGAAAGGGTGCTGACCCGATTCACGACCAATAGAGAATTGAAAATAAACAACCGCTATACTCACCCTGAACTTTTTATATCAGCCTTGTCAACAAACGCATGATAACTGCTAAAGTTGAAGCCCATGTGAAGGTTAAGCTTGACATTTTTAATTTTGGCCTCGATGCCTCCTTTAATGGATAGCAGGACGATTTTAATGCGGTATTTGTAATCGATCTAAAAGAAAGTTGACTTTTTGTTATTTAGTTCAAAAGTTGTTGAGTAATATTAACGAGGTGCTTACCGCAAGCGCTTTAAAATATAACGGCAAGGTAAGGTCCAGTATGTCCTTATTTTGGTTATATCTAGCAATAACCGGGTTAGAAATTGAGATGGTGGATAAGTTGCTAATTGTTCCATCAGTTAAAATACAGGTGCCAGTTGGAATCAACTGAAATATATTCATTTTGTCAATTAACGTAATGAAATTGTACTTCCGAACTATTTTTTCTAGGGCTGCTAACATTTTGGAAACTGAAAATCAGATAGTCTGCCTATAATTTATTGATTTGATTGTGAAATTCTAATATAATGTCTTAATTATTATTATCGATATATCAATTTTGATTCCGAAACGTATGGCATCTAACAAGCTCTAACTTTTTCATTTTAAGGAATTCAATGGTAGCTAATCATACACCTATATTACCTTGATTTTCTGATCCGATAACAATAAAGGCTCCATGCCTTTCTTAATAATGAGTGGTTGCAGGTGTTCTACGATTTTTATAGCATATTCTGTAACATCTGCTTGGATATATCCATCACTAAGTATTTCAAAATAAGTTTATTATATAAAAATTAGGTTCGTGATAAATAGAAATGTGCCTTTATAGAACCTCCAAATTCCAATCCCTTAGTGGAGATTTTAAGCGACAAAGACGTTTTTATAAAAGCTCAATATCTAGGATTCGTTCAATGATGATAAAAATCTTTCTAATGGAAAAAAAGAAATATATTCAGAATCATATAGATAATTAGGTCTTCAGTCTTCAAAAGGCTTTCAAAGATTATAGAGAATGAATGATATGGAGTTAGGTGTAAGGTGAAGAATTAGGTAGGGATTTCAAAACATAAATAGGTTGGCGAATTTGGAGTTTCCTTTTTTTGATGAACAGACTTCAGAGGGAAGTCTCTACAACTTCAAGTATTGATAAAAATTCGTTCAATGATTAGAAGATCCAGTTCACACAAAATCTGCTCTTTGAGAGAAAGCTTTGAAGCTGGCTGATTCTCTAGAGTTTATTGAAAGCAATTTAGAAATAATCGCATTTAACGTTTTTGGAATTTGTTTATTGATTGATAGATATTTAAATGATATCCACGAATCACTAAATTTGCTTAAGTTTAATGCTTTAGGTAAACTTGGAGGGAAATCGCTCAAGATATCAAAGTTAAAAAATAGACTAGTTTTAAAATGCTTTAGATTATTTATATTGGAGAAGAAATTAGATATCTCATCAAAACAAGATTTCGAAAATTTTAGCGATTAATAATTTACTCCTGTTCAGAGAAGAGTTTGTGGAATTTTCAGAAAGAGGAAACGTGATTTATGAATATCTATATAAAACTTCTTAATAGTTTTGTTTTATTTGAAAAACTAAAATTACGGCATAAAGACGTACATTTTCGAAGAAGAAACTTACCTTAATAAAGCTCCTTCTGAAAGAAGAGCTTCCTTCAGATGTTTCCACACGATGTCTGGTAACACTTCTTGTGTCACTTTTTTAGCTTCAAATTTTCCGGGGTTAATATCATGGCTTAATTTCAAATTTTCGGCAATGACAATGCCGGAAAATAATAATATCAGAGGCGCTGCGGCTTTCATTGCGAAACACACTTCAACGATAATCGGAAAACTTCATGAAATGCGATTTTATACCACTCCATTTACTTATATAGATGTCATTTATCAAAAATCAATTATTGATTTATTTTGAAAAATAACTATCTTGTGTAGAATGTCTAGTTGTAAATTTTTGACGCATATTATCATTGTTTATGTAATTTTTCTATAAGAATTTTCCTCGATTCGAAACTTTGACTATTGCAAATTCAGAAATATGCATTATGTGAAAGTTGTTCTACAATAATTTTGAAGTGAGAATTTCAGTGCTCTGCTCTGCTCTTAGACCACCTCTCAGGCAACAAACTAGCCTTACCTACTTATACATTTGTAAATTAATCAAACATTGAAAAAATAATACATTGAAACTACTCACCTGATAAAAGTTTCCCATTTATATCTGCATGTCGTAGGTATTTGAGATTTTGATCAATACGAAATCTTTACAAAATAAAAACAGCCACTATTCTCATTAACTTAAATTATTTATATTTCCAAGTAATATATTAATATTTTAATGTGTCATAATTTAAGACTTATTTATTTACCATAACATATATTCTGTATTAATAAATTGAGGTATTACGCAGCAACAAAGTATCAATAAGATTATTAATGGAGTCAACGACACCTTCAACTGGAGTGTCAATAATATCATTAACTACATTCAAAATAATACCATGGAACAAAGTGGTAAGTACGCCAGCTAAAAGATCAATAACCCAGTCCGCAATCCCTTGTCCAGAAAATTCCAGCGAAATTGACCTAAAAAATAATAATAATAATAATAATTGTTATTAAAAATGAGGAATTTAAAAAGGTTACAAACATTTCACTCAATTAAAATAAAGTTTACAAATAAATAATAGGTACATAACAAAATAAATAAGTAATAATTAAAGCATATGTATAGGATTATAAAAATTATTATAGAATACCCAATTTTAACTTTGACTCATCAGAAGCTGGAAATTTGAAAAGAACACAAAATTTACAGACGAGAAGCAACAGAAAAAATGATAATCATTCGGATTCCAATAATTCTTGAAAAGTGAAAACATGACAAGATCCAGGACGTGAACGTGGTGCGATGTAAATTCTTTGGTTTTGCGTGATGTGAATGTCCAAACATTGATCAAGTGGTTAAAATAGACATCCTATGAGAGGTAATGATATGTAGGTAGATACCTCGGTAGATACCTACAATCACTAAAGTGAGAGACGATCAGAATTCAGATAAAGAGCACCTCTCTCAGACTACTTAACACCACTTGAAGAAGATATACAGAATTTATTCACCCACTAACATAATTCGTGACTTCAACAGTAAATTCCCAGGCTGGAATTCGAATGCCCCATAAACGGAAAGCAGTCAAGCTGGGGAAATACGATGCCGATCGGTCCTGGAAAACCTACGGACCTACTAGAAGGACTTGGAAGTCTTAATGTAATGAACATAATATATCAATTTTGGAAAATACCTCAGAAGCCGTTCAAATAGCCAGAGACTTCGACAAGAGCATGATCAGTTAAGCGCTGGCTCTAAGACAAGATAGATAACCATGTGATATCTCTTGACATTTTCGAGCAAAGTACCAGAGAGTACAAAAAGAAAGTGAAGGACTCAATTTGGACTCAGCGCAGGTCAAACCTGCTACTGAGTTACAAACAAAGACTTGCAAGTTTTTTTAAAGCTACCTAGCTACCAAACCGACCGAGCTCAGTGGATGTAGATAATACTCCACCAAGGACACGAAATGGACCATCTAAAGCCTAGAAATAGGTCCAATCATTATCTCATACCATGGATAAAGCGACCTTATTTCTTCAAAGTAACTCGCAACATAGCAAAGGTATACCTCCTACAAAAACCTTGGGCATACAAGGGTCGCGTAAGAGGATTAGGCAGAGTGGAAAGATCTCTTTTCTATAAAAGGGACTGAACCCAAGGACTTGCATTTTTGTCGATAGACGGATCGAGTCCACTCTAACTGCTAACTTCTGCTCTAAAGCCCTAGTAGCGGTGAAGCTATGCCTTAAGGACAGACTGGGATAGAGCAGATCGATAGTAGTTTGCTTTGAACGAACTCGGACCAAACATTGAGTTCCTAAGGGCTAAACTAGAAGAGTTTTTTACGCCATTCCGCAGCGCAAGGCAAGTGAAGGAAACATCCGAATTCATACAAAACGCAATTACCAATGCGAATGAACGAAGCTGTGAGCTTCGGGCCTATCGAGGAAAGAAGAAAAACCCCTTGGTTGGCTCCTGGAAACACACTTTCCAGGCTCTGAAATCCTGCAAACTGCTGAACCACCAATGCACGCTCCACAAGCTGGAGCAAGGCCAGCTGACTGGAAGATAGATGCAAGGGTGGTATCAGAAAACTTCGTAAGATGGGCCATCCACTCATTTGGAGCTTTTAATAGTGAGAGATAATTATTGACTCCGCACCTTATACGCCTCTTCAGGGCCTGCCTCGAGTACCACATTCCTGCCATAAGGTCCAAGTGGTATTTCACCCCAAGCCAGGACGCTATAATTACGAATCGGCTAATGATTACAGACCCATCAGTCTATCCTCGTTTCTTCTAAAAACGCTGGAGAAACTGGTGGATACATTCATCAGGGAAGGGCATGGGAAACAATGCCCATGCATCCTAATCAACATGCCTACAGGACTGCCATGTGAACTGAGACGGCTCTCCACAGTCATTTGGTAAGGCTAGAGCGAGGGATGTCTCATAAAGAGATGGATCTGGATGTATTTCCAGACATCGAAGGGGCATTTGATAACGACTTATTCGACTCTATAAAAAATGCTGCAGAAAACTTTAGGATAGAGAACACCATTGTCAAATGGATCTGCGTCATGCTGGAAAGCAGAATCATTACAAGCTCGATTGGTAGTGCGAACATCAGCCCAACCGTAGCTAGAGGCTGCCCACAGGGGAGTGTACTGTCACCTCTGCTGTGGTGCCTGGTACTGGATGGGCTGCTCCGCACTCTGGACGAGGAAGATATATACACTCAAGGCTACGCAGATGATTTTGTCATTGTTGTGGCTGGTAGGGTACCCTGCACCATTAAAGGGATCATGCAAAGAGATATTAAGAGCTCTTTGTAGAAGGATGGTGTAAAAATCACGGGCTTTCGGTAAATCCGGACCGAGGTAGTACCATTTACAAATTGAGACTTGTTCCATCCGGTATGGTCAAATATCTAGGAGTCGTCATTGACTCCAGGCTGACCTGGAAAGATCACATCAACAGGGTCGTCCAGACAGCCACTGCTAGCCTTTGGGCCTGAAGATCTAGTCTACTGGCTTTACACAGCAGTGATAAGGCCAATGATCAGGTACGGCAGCTTAGTTTGGTGGAACGCGTTTAGCAAATCCACTTACACGGGAAAGCTGGACAGGCTCCAACGATTTGCCTGCATGGCTACAATTGGAGCCTTTACAATCACCCAAACGCTGGCAATGGAGGCCATACTGAGATAATGCCTCTCCATCTCTTTGTGGAGGCACAGGCCCGGGAGGTTTCTGTCAGACTCAACGGTTGGGGATAAAGGGTTCACAGAGGTTCTGACTATGGGACATGCAAGCACTGACACCATCAGGCAGGCCCCCTTTCTCACCAGAAGAGATGGAATGCCAAAAACTTCAGCCTCTTCTAGACAATACAAGGTCGTCTTTCCTGCAAGGGACGACTGGCTAGAGCCTGATCCAGGCTTTCTCAAGTCGAAAAGGCTCATCTGGTACACAGTCGGGTTTCTGACGGGGAAGAGTGCAGGCCCTGGTGTATATGGGAAGAGACCTGTGGTGAGAATTATTCTTGCACTGGTTCCATACCCAACGGTATACCAGACTGAGATCTACGCCATACAGGAATATGCTCAGGAGAATCTCCAGAGCGGTTCCTCGGGCAAGCATATTTATATATGCGGCGACAGCCAGTTAGCACTCCGAGCCCTTGGCTCAGACAAGGTCAACTCGAGGCTCTCGTTTGACTGTACAGGTCTGGCAAGTCAGCATCTTACGGGCCAATTTAAATGCATTAGAATGAAATTTCTAGACCGCTGGAAATACTGGAGGTGGAACAGAGGAAATCGTTTTCGTTCTCTATTCAACCTTAGACTTTTTCTATACATTTCATTCTATTGCATTAAAATTGGCCTGTAAGATGTTCACTTGCCAGACCGGTATAACAACCCTCGAACTATTCAGTGGGCTCAACAAGGTCACCCTTGTTTGGGTCCTAGGTCAGAGGGGCATAAAATGCAACGAGGAGGCAGACCAGCTGGCTCATGAAGATAGCAGAATTGCCTTTATTGGGCCAGAGCTTGCTCTTGGGGTTGCTTCTTGCCTGGTAAAAGACAAGATCAGGAACCGGTCCAACAATCGGATCCAAGACGAATGGCTGGGACAGGAAGGCCTCAGACAGTCAAGGATCTTTAGACAACAACAGACTTCAAACTGCAAAGAGGCAAAAATCCTCCTAAAACTGAACAAGTATCAAGTAAGAGCCATCACAGGCGTCCTGACAGGACACTGGGTGGTCAAATAGCACCTACACAAAATCTAAGTCAGCAATGAGACGGAATGTGGTTCTGCTGCGAAGTAGATGAAACTACCAAGCATATTAGTCTGCGAATGTGACGCCCTCGTCAGTCGCAGACGACGATACCTCGGGTACAGTTACCTGGAACCTGATGAAATAAAGCATGTCCGGCCTGAGCGGGTCTGCAGCTTCTGCCTATAAAGGCCCCCCTTTCAAATCAATCAAGCTACCAAAACAATTCAGATAAGATTATCCGGCAACGCTCCAAGAGTATCCCAAGGGTCAGTTCCACTACCGCACCTAGATCTACACCAATCACACCGCAAGACAAAATGATTTACTTTTACGCATACGGTTATGCTTAGCACAGAACCACTGATAAAAGACTCCAGGAAGAAATGAATTTCATATACCAATAGAAGATTTACATTATTACTCAGAAGAACTAAGCTATGCTATTTCAAAGTGGACGATACAATTTACCTACTAATATATGCAGGTGAAGATGGCTTTTCAGAGTCATGTGTGGAGCAGCGATTGAAAAAAATCCTTCTAGATTTGAATGAGAGGTTTAGGCAAATAAATAATATATTCCAACACTAAGTGATGCAGGTCGTATTCTGCCTCCTCTTAAACACTGGGAAAGGTTCAGAGGAAACCTGCCAAATATCTTAGCGAATGAATGATGATAGCTCTGTTAACCTTTAATTTTAAGATCAGTTATTTTTAGTACCAAGATGGATTTTTCAAAAAAAAATCATGGTTTAGTTCACCAGTTTGCTCCGATTAGGTGACGCGAGATCTACATGAATTCTGTATAAAAGAACTTTGATTCCAGCTTCTGTTTTATAAATAAACGTTGATGATATCATATCAATTCCTAAAATATCGAGAAGAAATTGAGTATACTGAATATATGCAATAGAATTCAATTTACAATTGAAAAAATAATCCAACAAAGTACATAATATAACTTTCCTAGATGTACTTTTATCAAATTTACCAAGACATGTCGAAAGCAGAAATTGATTGCAATCACACACCTAGTTTTTCAGAAAGTTTTCTCAATAAATTGAAACCTAGACCTCTCTTACTGTCTCCTGAGAGTCCCTCATTGTCTTTTGAGAAATTTCCTAGTTACTTTGTAACCATGAAATATACAAATGATCGACGTGATGCTATATTGGCACCCGAGAAAGAAACTTGTAACCCTTCCATGGGTCTCTCACCTTGATAACCCTTGTTTGTAGATTATCAGACAGCGAACCATTGGTAATTTTGCTTACTGTTTGCCGAATCCAGCATCCGTTTAGAATTAGTGAATTCAAACTAAACTTACCCCGAATCTCTTACATCAGCCTTGTCTACAAACGCATAAAAACTAGTAAAGTTGAAACCCAAGTGAAGATTCAGCTTGACGTTTTTAATTTTGGCCTGGACGCCCCCTTTAACGGATAGCAGAGTAATTTTTGTGCGGTACTTGTAGTCGATCTGAAAATTGTGTAATAGAAATCTTGATATTGGGTTGCAAAAATAGGTAATCAATATTGCTTACCGAAAGCGATTCAAATGCTAGCGGCAAAGTAACCTCCATTATCTCGCCGTTATGGCTATATTTAACAATAACTGAGTCCGAAAGTGATATAGAAGACAAATTGTTGAGTGTTCCATTAGTTAAAGTACAGGTACCAGTTGGAACTAACTGAAAATATTTTGTTATTGAGAAAATTGTGATTCTTCTTTCAAATTAATATTTTTCTAGGGCAACTTAGAAAATAGTAAACATCAACCTTTTGACTTATTTCAATATTTTGTATACATACCTTGATTTTTTGATCCGATAACACTAAAGGTTCCAAACCTTTCTTTACAATGAATGTTTGAACGTATTCTAACACTTTTTTAGCATACTCCGTAACATCTGCTTGTATATGTCCATCTCTAAATATTTTAAAACATGTTAGTTATGCAGAAAGTAGGTTATAGAATTCGTGATTAAAAAAAAAACACGTAAAACAAGCAAGATTCAATTTTAACTTGAAAACAACGACCATTGAAAAGTTTGCTAATTTGAACCGGAAAAGGTAGACATTTTTGCAGAAGCAAAATTATCGTAGCTGTAGACTCAGCTAGAGAGAAACGAATTTTTTATGGTGCTATATACAACTATTCCAGGACACTCATATAAATACAGTGAAAATAGGAAGAATTGTTGGTGGTTGAAATGAACAGTATTGATGAAGAAAGCTATTTAAAAAAACTAGAAATTATTCCAATATTGAACCGGTGGAATTAGGTAAAAAATCAACATTGATCAAGATAGATATGGATAAAGGGCTTCAAAAGGGCTTTACCTTGGAAAATTGATGTGATATTAGTTTAGAGAGAAAAAAGAACCATGTCAATGGGCGAAAGAAATGTGTCATCAAAGAATTTTCATGGATATATCAGAGTTTCCGCGAGAAAAGTGTCGGAAATCTGCTGAACACAAAAAAAATCCATAATTTTATCATGGAGTCGCTGCAATCATGCGATGGATGGTCTGAAATTATCAAACCTTGTGTTTGTACCTTATGAACGATAATCAGGAACAGAATGAAGATCTTAGATCAGAAACATATAACTAAAAATTGTGACGAAAAAAGAACGAAATCGCAAAATAGGGGAAGTCCTACGTATTAAAATTATTATTTTATTCTCGAGGACGAGTTTTATAAGGATGACCTAAATATCCAGGGTGTAAAAAAATAGTGTACCAGACTTCTAAGGGTGATACTACATATGAAAATAGGAAAAAAAATTCCATGAACATGCTCTAAGATGCTTTTTTGTTTTGTGAGTAACTACCCTCTACCCGTATGGGTAGAGGGTAGTCAGAGCTGTTATGACTTTTTCCACTATTACTATTCGCTTTGGCATCGAAATGTATGTCAGAATACCGAATTTCAAGGAACATAGTTTGCCGCTGTCTTTGAAAATAAATAAAATCTATTATTTTCATCTACCGTTTGAAGGGCTGTAACTTCTTCAGGAAGCATCTTAGGGCATAGATTCATAGAAACTTTTTTTCCTATTTTCATATGTATAGTCTCACCCCTCGAAGTTCGGTACACTATTTTTTCAACACCCTGTATAATGTAAAAGGAAAGGACTCTGCACACCTCATGGGTTTTTGGGTTTCTGCCAAATTCAATGAAATTTTGATATGCAGTATACCTTGACTTCCTGATAGAAAGTTTTCATAGGCCCAACCCGATACTATAACACAGATAACTTAACAGATGCGAAAGAGCGGCGAATTCGTGGTTCAAGATTAATTTGATAGACATAGGCTGGCCGCACCAATGCCACATCAATGTATTTTGAACATATTTATTATATAAATGCGGAAGCTCAATAATATAATATTATTTCTTTAATTGGTTCAGAAACAGCAAAAAAATATTTTTTTCTACCCGTAAAAATATGTAAACACACAGGCTGGAACATGCTCACGCACTCGGCCACGTTAATTGTCCTGACGCGGGCGATCTTTATCTATGCGTGGGGCCGCTGGTGGTTTTTTTTATGTAGAAAAGGCTTGAGTTGCCTACATAGTTACTAAATTTTTGACTTGGGGAATTATCAATAGTAATATAACTAGTGCAATGGAAATTATTGATAATTTTTGGGAAATTTGCCCGAATGCATTTTTAGTTGAAAAAGAGCACGAGTGCACGTAGTGCACGAGCTGCATTGGCTGCAATTGAGTGCAAATTTGTCGAAAATTATAAATATATTTCCATTGCACGAGTTGTATTTAATGAGAGAATTTCATAAATCAAAAATTTAAATTTTTTGTCAAAAAATGTCAAAACACCAGTTTTCGCACCCAGCTATGCAATTATCTGATAATTTGCACTAGTGCAAATTATCGCGTAATTGCAATCTGGGGGGCTTTATTTGAAATTGATGCAACTTTGCGTATACGTAAATGACGTTATTTGCGATTGAAAACTGGTGCAAACTTTGCACCACTCGCAACTTTTGCGCATGGGGGTGTACCGATCGCAAATCTAGCTCGCACACGCAAGTTGTGTTGTCAATTTATTTTAATTTTGATGATTCACTTCAAATAAGTTCGAATATTGTGGTGATTTTTATAAATAATATATGATTTAATAACGTTATTAACAACAATGGGCTGACTCTCGTCTCGTCTTGAACTAGCGAAGGCTTTTAACGAAAACCTCGTAGTAAGGCCGCGATTTTATGCCTTCGTCCTAAGTGACCGGACTTTCGTAAAAAAATTTCGGCTAAATAAAGCTACTTCTGAAGACTTATATGAGACTTTACAGGGTTATTTAGTGGAGCCAAGAAAAGCATCTTCCACCGAGCACCGTATAATACCGCTGAGGCTTTTGCAACATCTTTTTACTCGAATTTTAGGTAAAGGTTGGGGCGTTCCCTGACAAATTGGACAAGAAGCATTTTTTCCTCCGCATCTGCGTTTGCGGAGCTCTTTTTTCTATCTACAGGAATAGGGCTTGGTGAAATAATATTAATTTTTTGTGGTAAATTGCTTATAGATGAACATGAAACATATTTTTGAAAATTCTAACCTCAAAACATCAAAAAAATCATAATAAATAAATGTCATCGTAAAATATACGTCACCGTCAGCCAAAATATCGTAAAATTCAAAAATCCACTCATTTTTATATGGTAGATTTTCAACATTTTGTGAAAAGAAAACTGGCAACGCAGCGAGCGAGTGCATCTTTTGCGTGCACGCAAGTAGAGATGCACACGTCCAATGTCAATTTCAAATAAAGCTATTCGCACATAATAAGTTGCGTATACGAACAAATTGATGCAACTTTACGTGCACGCAAATATTTGCGATCGATTTCAAATAAAGCCCCCCTGATTGGTTCAAATCAACAATCAAAACATGTCAGTTCATTGTTGGAATACCAGTTTTGACAGATGTATGAAATTCTCTTTAAAAAAAAAACGGACTTTAGTTTTCGAAATACAGGTAGTTTAATGTCTAAGAAATGTACACATTTTGCATGCATTTACATTTATAGGGAAATTAATAAAACAATGTATGTAGGGAATCAAAATTTATGACGTTAGCATGTCGCAATGTTGCCGCATCAACTTCGTTTTACTTTGACATACCTTAAAGTTTGTCATTTTCCTAGATTAAATTTTTATTAATCAATTGGTAAGAATAATTATAATACCAAAAAACGAAATTCTATTAATACAATTTTATAGCAAATTCGACTCGTTAGAAACCGACAACAAACCTCAAAATATTAAAATCAATAACCAAGGATTTGCAGAAGGCAACTATTAGCAACATTACCCACGAGTGCCAACCTAAATCTGATCTTATCGGCAGATTCGGTTATATGATCCGACAGCATTCTATCTCTTTTTAACTAGGGTTAAAAAAAAGAGAAAATGCGCTCTGAGTTTAAAACGAATATTAATTTCTTACAAAATGCAATTGGCAATAATTTCGACGTCACTGATGACCTGCAACCATTATTTCAATAACTTCTCTATACCTGTCCGCTGAGCGTGACACCTGTCCATCCTGGTATTTATTAGGAGACAGGTAGATGTAAATGCATAATGAAATGTGTACATTTCTTGGACATTTAAAATAAGTACCAATATCTCAAAAACTATTCATAGTATCGGGTTGTGCCTATGAAAACTTTTTATCAGGAAGTCAAGATATACCACATATCAAAATATCATTGAGTTTGACAGAAAACCAAAATAAGAGGGGATCCTTTTAAAACACATTAGAAAATAAATAGGCATTAATTCCAAACTATAAATGACATAGCTATTTGAAAAATATAAACAACTTACTCCAGCTGTCCCGTCAAAAGAAGAATTTCCTTGAAAAGATTCCACGAGATGGCTGGTAAAACTTCGTCGGTCACTTTTATGGGTTGTAATTTTTCGGTGGTGATATCAGGGTTTAATTTATAATTTTCGGCAATAACAAGGCCGGCGAATAATAATAATAAAGGTGCTGTGGCCTTCATTGTGATACACTTCAACGATAACAGAAAAAAAAAACAATTAAAAGTGTTTTTTTTTTGCACTACAACCTATTTATATGATTTTTGTTTTAATCGAAAAGCAATTGAAGTATAGGTATTCAAAGAAATTATCTAATTATTTTTCGTAAGACAATAAAATATATGTCTAGTCATACATATATTTTTGATTTACGCAGTTTATTATTGTATGCCTTTTGATTTCAAATATCAAACTGAATTTATCTATTAAAACTTGTGAGCAAAAAAGAGAAAAACAACAAGAAGATTGATGCCAAATAGAAAAACAGCAAGAAGACTCGGCAACTGAAGAACAACTGGAAGACCGGGAACAAGGACAGATACAGGTCCCGCTAAATAAGTTAGCAATAAAACATTTTGCGCAGTACCTACCTATACAAAATTCGGTAATGGTAGAGGCGTAAACTGAACTGTAAAAAGGTAAACCCTACCCTCGGCTAACGGATGGGGTGTAGTGGCGTGTACAGGGTGTCCCATTGAAGATGGGAATCGGGGTTATCAGCTAAACTCGTGTAGGTAGATCTTTCTGATGTCACATTCCCGGGCCAATTTTTCATAGTAATTCAAATGCCCCCAACCGCAGGTCAGTACCTCTTTTCGTTTTGAAGATACATGGTGAAACTATGGTAATTTTCACTTTTTGAGGGTATCCAATAAATTTTCTCGTCTCGGGTATCTATGAAAAAAAAAATATATGTATATATCGAAGAGGTGAAAATGCAATGACAGTTTTTCACAAGATTTTCAACCAACGGCTACGCCTACCCGCGCCAGCTCTCGACAAGTTATTTTGCGGGGCATTGTAGATATAGTGAAAGCAACGCCGAATTTCTATAAAAACTTCCGAGAAGGCAAAGGCAAAATAGAAACGGTCAAGGTAGAAATGGAAACGCTCGAAGAACAAATAGGAACAGTCTAAATGGATCCGATAGAGTAAGATGATTGATGGGTCAATATTGTTCTGAAATTGAACAAATTCTAGTCCTATACAATGCGACACTAGTGGCAGTAAAGTTCCTTCGAAAATACACCGTTCTACTTGTGTCGTAAGTAGCGGTCGTAAATCTTAAACTATCAATGGTCTAATATATCGGGTCTTCAAAAAAAAACCAATCAAAGATTGCTATGATTTTTTAAACGTATGTCTTGGCTATATTTGTCTTTAATTTTGTCAATGAGCTTTAATGTCAAAATGTCATGTCAAAAATCCTGACCAATAAAGAAACAGTAATGCGACGTACGTTTTCGTAATCAAAGCAATCTTCGATTGGTTTTTTTTTTGAAGACCCGATATGAACGACATTTTGAGACCAGATTGCCAGCAGTCCATTTACAGTATTTAGTCAAATGATGGTAGCTAGCGAAATGTAGTACCGGGTCGAATCTACTGTAATGGTAAAGTTCATTAAAGGCATATTTGCAAAATACTACATCCAATATACCGATGTATAAGAGCCGGTTTATTCACTTTCTAATGAACTGTCAGGTTATGCAATTTGACAGATAAAAACGCAATATGTAATCTCATTGGTCAACCAATTATCTAGTGACCAACAGGATTATAGATCTTTAAATTTATCTTGCAGATGGTTACCAGCAAGTTTATCTCAAGATGAATAAACCGGGCCTATGATTGTTCTTTGAACATTAGAACCTGTGCCTGAGTTTATTTATTTGGTGGTACACTTTACAAGAATAATGCCCACCAGGTGCCTAAAAAGGGATGATGTAAAATTTTAATTTCAGGCGATTTTTGGTCTAGAGAGTAAACAGCAATTTTCTTCAACCAAGGCCAAATTCACCATCGAAAAAAAAATAATTAAATTCAGCTACTAGACACGTTAACACAACATTCAATAGTTATTAAATAATTCAGAAGCGGTACGAAGTTCGCCGGGTCAGCTAGTTATTATATATTATGATGCAAGTTATTTTTCTTAGAGCGCGATTTTTTGTTTCTGTGTCAATAGCTAAATATTACCACTTATGTACTTTCATTCATACCTACGAATTAAATTAGTGATAGTGACTAACGCCTCATAAATACAATAGCGAGTACAAACTTAAGGATCTACTAGATAGAATAGATATGTTATTTATTTCAACGCAATTCAACCTGAAAAAGTAGGTAATAATATGTTTTATATCCTACTGAACTATTAAAACCATATAATACCTTGGTTACGATAATCATAAACAGGGTCTTAACTCCCAAGGGAGTTAAGGATTTTCATAACTCCCAAGGGAGTTAAGGAAGGGAGTTAAGGATATCATAACTCCCAAGGGAGTTAAGGATTTCCATAACTCCCGCTTTTACCTTGAATAGGTAACACTTTGACAAAAAATAGAAATTTTGATTTATGGCTTATTCCTTTATAAAAATAGACAGAATACAGTAAATTCAGTAGGATATAAAATTATCTATGTACCACGGGAATTATCAGGAGTTAATACCCACGGGCAATTGGTGTCCCTCGGGCCGGAGGCCCTCGGGACACAAACGTTGCCCTGGGGTATTAACACCTGCATAATTCCCTTGATACATAAATAACTATTAATCAATCAATAGGCCGTTTCCACCAACGCAAGTTCTTAGAATCAAATAAAAACGCAAACAAAATTATTTATTGTTTTTATTTAAAACTATTATCACTGTCAACGTAAAGCAAAGCAAATACTAAAATTTAATAATCCAGTATCATTTATTGAAGGTTGATGAGATAAAAGTTTCCAAATTTTCCTATAAAAACACAAGTAGGTACTCGTGTACCTGCAGAAATATTGCAAGGAACTGAACATGTGGAACTTGCGACCTTTAATTTTCTGAAAGACGTCCATCATCAGCTATTCTATACACAATTTCATGAAAAGATTCATATTAAAAGGCGGTTACACACGGACGTGGATGTCTTGATACAAATACGTGCATACATCAACGTGCAAACAACAACGTGCATGTCGCGTTTGTACAGACTCTCGCACAAAACTGCAGTCTTGCTATTCTTGCTACAGTAATCCGAGTGTGCATACAAAATTTCTAGCGATTCCACATTCAAAAACGCGACGTTATTTTGCATACACATTGATGTTGTTGTTTGCACGTTGATGTATGCACGTATATGTATCAAGACATCCACGTCCGTGTGTAACCGCCTCTTAATATGAATCTTTTCATGAAACTGTGAAACTGGACAAAATAAAAAATATAAGCACTCGATTGAGTATAGGTATCCCAAAGCCTACATAGTCTTTGTACCACCTTCAGAGGCAGACAACCTAAAAAGGGATTGAATCTTCAAGAGGCTGGAGGTAAGTAACAGGTAACTTAATACTGTTGAAATAATGCTGTGGACAGTATTTGGAAGTACTCCAAGTGACAAGGGCATAAGTGGGCCAAATCAGTGAACTAAAAGAAGCTAGAGAGGAGCGAAATGAATAACCGGCTACACGTAAACCGGAGTCATTCTTCCAATTTCCACTAGCAGAAGGGTTCTTTACTGCCAACACAAGCAACAACCTCACTTTTTCGTGCAGCTACTTGATAAGAAAACCTAGACAGATAGCAATATGTGGAATGCAGATTGCATCTAAAGTCGCTGTGGACTGCTACGCTTATGCAAGACCCTAGTTTTAGTCAAAATTTTCAGTCTTCTCCCAAAAGAAAACAGCTTTTCGTGTTGTCGAATGCTGACTACTTAGGACGTTAGCCGTGCCCCTTCGAGGTATTTTAGCCCTTTGCAAGACTGAGCAGGGCATTCACAGAGAGATGTTTTGCTATTTCATTTTCACATTCGCAAAATCTACAGAAGTCATTCTCTGCTTTGCCTATCGTTACAAGGTGAAAGTTTACTTTTCAATGCCCAATGAGCAGGCCGACGACTGTTCTAATGCCTGTTTATGTCGAAAAGTTGTTCGGATGTTTTTGATAGGATGGATATAAATCTCTTTGCCTGTCTCAGAACCCGAGTGGATCTCTAATGAGCTAGTCTGGTTCTTTTTCCATCTGTTCACTTATTCCATCAGGTGGGCCTTCATCAGTAGTGCACAGGGCGGCTCTGGGCCCTGGACAAGCGTTGTAACCTCTTGTTTTGCGAGGAAATACGCTTAGTCGTTACCAATAAACCCACTATATATCCTACAAGAGAAAATTTCGCACGTGGGAAGTTATCCTATTCAGTATTTATAGTAAGAGGATTACTTAAAACTATAACTACCTAGTTGTTCAACTAAATTATACTTGAGGTTTGTTTTTGTCACACACCTTGATGTCCTGGGTCCCGGTATTCATATCAGGGAAATTACCCGCGGTTTTCCTTAGCACGATTTTTTTAGGGTTTGTAGTTCTCTACTAGGATAATATTCAGTTAAAAATTTGGCTCTCTATCTATAAGGCAATTCCGCGGTACGATAGCTGCTGGTGATTCGGATTGCGGCCTGTCTCTGTATCCTCTCATAGATGGCCCGATTGTTATCCGTCGACATTGCGGATCCCCACACAGGAACAGTGTACAACAGGATAGATCTCTCAACTGAGCACAGCAATCTTCTCTTGCTTGCCCTTGGGCCACCAATGTTGGGCATAGCCTCCCTAGCAATCGCGCTGCTGGCTTGTGTCGCGATTTTCTGTAGGTGAGTCCGGAGCTTCCGAGGGAGCTTCAGTTTGGAGTCCATCCATACCCCTAGATATTTCATCTCCGTTCTGGGGACAATCTTCATATCCAGGATTTGAAAGGTGGTATGAGGTACCTGGCGCTTTGAGGAAACAATGACATCCTCCGTTTTCTCTTTTGCTAGAATCAGCTGTTTGCTGTTCATCCATTTCTGGATCCGCGTCATGGCCACTGTGATTTTAGTTCTAATCTCCTCCAGGTCTTTGCCCAGAGAGTTAACAGCGTCGTTGTCAGCGTACCCCGTTAGCTTGACCCCTGCAGGGAGGTTGATGTTCAGAATACCGTCATAAAAGATGTTCCACAAAGTGGGGCCAAGAATAAAGCCCTGTGGAACCCCACACCTCATCTGAAAGTTCTCTCTTTCCCCTC